ACACACACACACACACACACACACACATACACTGGTAGACACAGCGTCAAGTGAAAGCGTAAGCGGATGCAACCACACACACTCTCCAACCATTCACCCAGGCCACTGTACTACGCACTCCCAACCGGCTCACTTCGAGGGCCCCTTGGCGTTGTCCTGCTGTCGATGTACAGGTTCGCCCGACGTGCGGCGCCATGGGGTAGCTGCGAGTCGAGACATGTGCACAGCCACCCATCATAAAAGAAAGTCAGGCAGAGTTGCGCCACACGCTTCAGCAAAAGTAAGCTCGCTACAGGGTCTAACAACATGCTTTAAGGCTGGTCAGTCTAGGGCCAAGCTGTGAAAAAAGTTTGACAATTAGGTAGCATAGCATTTGCAGCAAGCGCCACGAGCAATGCAGGTTCAAGACCGTCTAGAAGCGAGGTATGCTGGTGTTCAGTGCTGCAGACTTCGGCGTTGATAGACTTTAGCGCGATTCATGTACATTCGCCGGCAGCTCGGAGGTATTCGACGGCGGCTGCAAGCATCAAACCCATAGGCACGGGAATAACGCGTATCAGTTGTAGGAGCTTCAGTTCCATTTCGACTCATGTCGGCACTACGATCACGGTCTTTGAGGCGGAGAAAACATACCTTTCGACGCCGCCGGTTGCCACTTCACTCGGAGTGGTGACCTTCTGCAAATACAGCACTCAATACGCACGTCCGTCCGACGAGTTCAATCCACCCCCCTACGAATTACACTCGGTAGCACGTAATACTGCCTCTACACGCAACATGTTCAAGAAGCAGTTCGAGTATAACGCACGAGTTCGTCGACTTCATCCACCCCAGGATCCCTCAAAGGAAAAATAGTTGTATTGGAAGCCCTCACTGACTGAGCAGTAGCATTTTCTTGCGCGCAACTTGCTGAATCGACCGCAACCACACAACAGAAAATTCATTAAGCATGAAAAAGATTCGATGTATGCAGCAAGAGTTTTGGCACCCGAGCTGCAAGCTGGTTACCTCTTCTATACAAAATGAGCGGCCACAATAAACAATGAACGGCCACAATAAACGGGCCTTAAAATGCTTTTGCTCTTGCCCACTTAAGAATTGTCCTTGAAATATTGCCAGCCTCGGTGATGGTGATGGATTTCAAGGACAATTCTTAAGTAATTCCACCAGAATATTTACTAAAAATTTCAGTCCTTAACTCTATGTATTCTTTACTCACCTATGTCCGGGACGGGCGAGTTATCGTTTTCGCCAACTAAAAAGGAAACCTTGTGTCGCCGCGGCCCGTCGAGCAGCTGAGCCGAGGCCCAGTTTGTCCCGGAATCGTTTATCCCTTCTGAACTCGGCCTACTGACTGACTCCGTCAATTTGGGAATGAGTGCAGGCTTCCGCATGCAACTCGGCATGTCTCGTTGACTAGCAGAAGGCCCCCCCCTAATAAAATCCTGATGCACGGAGTCGAAGTTATCCTTGCTGCTCATCTCCACCAGCAGCTGATCTGCAATGTGCATCGGCACGACTGTCGCCAGGCTGCTCTCCTCGAGGATGCGATTAAGTTGCTGCTCAGCTTGCTGTAGTGCAGCAAATGCCGCCGCAGCAGCAGCTGTTGCTGCTGTTGCTGCCTGCTCCGTCCCTCCTACTGTCTCCACAAAGAGCTGTTTCCCCTCTTGAACGGGTTCCCCGCCTGCATGTAACGCACAACCCCTCAGCGCCCCAAATCCTTCCAGAAGGCCGCATGCCAAGGGAGAAACACAGCAATATTTAACACCTGATATGACGACAGCAAGGTGCACAAGCTAACCTTTCGCCTGAGATTTCCGAGGCGATTCACTTGCCGTGAAGTCCCCCGTGCCACCACATTCGCGGGAAGACTGCGAGACAGAAAGAGATAAAAATCAATGCACACGAATGTACAAAAAACCCAACCGTGAACTCAAACAAATTCATGAAGTTCTACGTCGAACAAGTGAAGCAAACGAGTTTAGGCCACAGCGCATGAAAGAGTTTTTGACAGAAGGGATGCGGTCTGGGTTGGTCTTCCCCCAATCGCTTAAAGCCAGCAACCAGCACAATGAATTGTCGGCTTGCAGCACTCACTCCAAGCTTGTCGGTGTCACTGCGCACAGGGCTGCTGCACAGCCTGCCGTAAAGTTCCTCATGGGGCTGCGGCGATAACAAGTCGTCCTCTCGGCGGTATACCCCCAACGGCTTCGGGGATGCGTCTGCTGCTTTCGTTGCAAGGGCAGTTTTTACCGCCTCTACGTCGCGCTCCACAGCTCGGAGACTCTCCGCCAGCTGCTTCAGCTGATCCCGTTGCTGCTGCTGCAATTTCCTCTGATGGACCTCGGCCTGAGCCTCCGCCTCTCGCACTCGACGCAGAAGCTCCACCCGCACAGCAGCGCCAGCCTCTGGGGAACCTGAAGGCCCCCCCACTGTGCACGAAACCCCCGTGCAGTCCGCGGAGAAGAGGCTGTTCTTCTTCTCCGATTTTGTAGTGATGGAAGCCTCTGCATAACCGTCGAAGCAGCACACACTCAAAACAGGTAAACATTCGTCCTCCTCCAACCATGAATTCCCCTTAAAATATTCAAGGAAGGCAAGCTGGTTCCGCTCAGCGCATAGTGGGGAGAAAAGGCGCTCATCGTGTACATAGTGCCGCTCCTGAGCAGTGCATGTAGGCGCACCGGACTGAGAAGAAGGGCTGGGCACGCTATTGTTGGTGACTCCCAGAAGGCAGAGGAAGCGCGGGCTCGTGTGCACAGCCTTCTTGAAATCTTTCAACATCATCCGCCTCGATCCGTCTGGCATTTCCGATGCAAGTGGCAAAAACGTCATGGCGATCTCCTCGTCGGAGGCCAGATTGCCGTCCCCACCCAGCAGGGCCCGGCGGGCAACTTGCAGGCACTTGACCAAATCGAGGAACTCGTTCAACCCCAAACTGTCCGCATAAATAACGCTTCGGCACCGTTCAAACCAATGCGTGCCCCGAGGCACGCGAAGGGTCTGCTTCGGTGTCAATCCCTGGTCAGAGACAGGTTTGCAGCTCTCGCTGCTGGAGTGGTCCTTCGCCTTAGATGTAGAGTTCGCCTGAGACCCCTGCCCAACAATAGGGTCGGCGCTGGCCGTTCCCAATATTCCACAGCACTCCTCCTCATCTCCGGCACGAGCGACTGCAACTCCGGAGCCGGGAGGCCTTCTATGGGCCAGCCGAGGAAGACCGCCAGAGGCAGCCTGACGATGCGGAGACGCTGTAATGGTTTCATCTGAACCTGAAGTGCTCACGGACTGCAGGCGATAATCCTCTAAGCATTTACCCGTACCCGTATACCTGCGTACCAGCAAACACTCTCCCGCGGCAAAAGGGAAATTACGAGTTTCTGATAGTGATGTGCTCTAGTTCGTGTGCCGGAGGTCTTGCTAGGCTTCAACACGGATTCCTAACAACGAATAAGACAACACCGCGCAAATCAAAAGGGGGAGAGAGGAGGGTGGCGTAAGACGGACGTGGGGTTGAGGATTCGGAATGAGAGGTCCAGCTTCTGGTCGTCGGTTCCGCGCATCATGATGCCCAAAGCGGTGGCAAACTCAGTAAAGCTTAGCTGATGAAGAAGCACACAGGCGCTCTTGATAAAAGCATTCACACAGGATTGACACAAAAAACACATCTACAGTTGCTACGATTACACTGCTGCCGCTGTGACGCTCCATACACTCGAATATGAAACATTCTTCGCATATGAATCTCCGTTGTTCGTCACCTCACACCAGAGAACACTTTTAATATCAGAGATTAGACGAAGGTGGCATGTAAGTGGTGTCGTTGGAGGTGCAGGCGTTGCTTTGATGAAGCTGACCTCTCTGTCCTTGTTCTGATCAAAAGCCCTAAACATCCGCTCCGCTATCATCGTATCGTCCAGCATTCCCAATACTCCCAAGGTGTCGCAGAACCGTGAAAAAAGCAGACGGCCGTTGGGCGCATATTTGCGAAACCTGGAAGTGTCGGAGGTACAGCAATTTCAGCAGGCGACGAGAATGAGCAGAATGCATGCCAGCCGCTTAAGCTATCTTCATACATCAGACAACCCTCCGGAATAAGACGGAATAAAAATGAATCGACATTTTTTAAATTCGACAAGGAAGGTGAAAACACAAGCGATATGTCATCACTGGCCAGAAGAGAATAACGTCGAGGACGCAGTACAAAGAAAGCTCCAATAATGGGCTCAGAAAGATGGCGATAATGAAAACACAAAAGTATTCCTGTCTAGGTCCTAACGCCTCTGAGTGCAACGGGAAATGCGATGTCTCAGAAGGTGCTAAAGGCACTCAAGGAGCAATTTTGCGATATAACTTGGGTATGCGCGTGAGCACCTGACTCTGCTCTACACGTACCTGTCATAAAGCCCCTGTATTTCCTTGAGGGTAAGCAACGTGTGTTGCTGGATTTCGTCAGCCATGTCGGCTGGCACGCGAGAAGGAAGCCTCCCATCCTCCGCTGTGTTCCCCCCACAGCACTTGCCCAGCCGCGACATTGGGGGGAGCCTCTCGCAAGTCACGAGAGGAGAGAAAGCAAAGCGCAGGACAAACAAGGCTCCACACGAGGCACAGAGCCAATATGTCCCAAGCAATGAAACGAACGAGATGCACTACGGACACTGCAGTGCCGAAGCCTGTCGCTCAGCTGCAGTCCGTTTACTGCCTTGGGCAGGCACATCCTCAGGGGAGAAACGCATGCAAATTATACGAGGAAGGCGGAGAGCAAAAAAATGCGATATGGTGTACGTAAGACTACAGCAATAATGACGAAACGAAAACTGACTCCGGCGCAGCTGGGGCGAAAAGATCCGCCGTTCCCCGCTTCTATCCCCCCTCAGGCGGAAGTGCCTCGCAGGAGCATGCAGCTAATACATGAATGAATTTTCTGTGATCGGCACTGGGTCATCTGAGGGTCCCTGCCCTTCGTCGTGCAGTGATTAAGGCAGGTGGCCTCTCCAAACGCCGTTAAACACAAACTTGCGGCCAAAGACCTAACGTCCCGCTGTTTTGCTTTATGGCTTTTAATCTGCGATGGTATTAGAAGAAAGCCCCACTCTATTCCGAGCACAATGTTAAACACGGGCTGTCCCTTGGAACAGTTCAAATGGACGCACGGGAACGAGCTTGCATTGAAGTCAAGGGAGGAGGGCTTCCAAGGGCAAAGGGCGCGTAACACATGGAAAAGGAATGTGGTGCGAAATGCGGCGCATGTATTTTGCGCTAAATGCGGATATTGGGGGAAAAACGAGGCGATTTCCACAAGAACGAGCTTAGCAGATGTCCAATGGGTCGGAAGCTCAACTCCCTGGGGGCCTTCGGCTTTCAAGGGGACAAGAAGTTATTGAAAACATCTATCTTATATAAAAAGCTCGAAAGAATTCGGAAGACGCAGACGACTCCATGGCCTTTGTCTGCCGTTGTGGGCAATGAGTCGCATGCCCACAACAAAAGGCCCCGACCCCAGAGCCCTTCCGCTCCTTGAATTAGCTCTCTGGCGCCGGAGAAGCGATTAGAGACACTTAAATAAAAAAAGCGCTTATTTAGTACTCAATGAAGCAGCTAGCATGGCGCCTTTCCGAAGATCCGCGGCAACAGACACTGCGCAAGCTGCCCTCAAACTCTTCACGCCGTCCGACGAAAGCCAGCTCTGCTGGACAGCGTCACTCATGCCATATCTTCACGCCAAAACTTTTACGACGCATTTAAACAAACTCAACGTAAAACAAACACCGCAACATTATCCAGGATCCGTAGTTTTGGCTCGCCTTCAGCCCCATAGCAGAGGGAATGGCGGAGCAAACGTGAGTCACTGGACCGAAAATAATGCAGCAAGATGAAGGACGAGTTTTTTCCCCTCTAATCAACTGGTGGAGCCTCCAGTGGACTTTGTCTTTTCGCTGCCACTTGGTGGCAAGGCGTGTTAAGCTGCGGCGGGACTGGCGGAGATAAGTTGGTCTTATCATGTTTATCATATTTTTGGCTTCACTAAGTAAGTGCTGTCGGTTCGAGTAGTCGGAATTTGTCTTCTCAAATGCATGCAAGAACTTCCCACTGCTGCCATCGACAACTGGTCGGGCGGCAATAATGGAGCGCTACACAACAGATGCAAATGGGCTAGGCCCCTCCTCAACTCTTGGTCAGCCACTTTGGCCTTAACACACAGAAGTAGAGACACTAGTTGGTCCGCATCTGGGCCCGCCCGCCAACACCCAGGAGGCTCCCAACCTCTGCAGCTGCGAGAGACTGATCATGCCGGCTGCAGCACCGTCAAGGACAAATTTCCCCGAAGAAATGTTTTTGCTCGCGTGCTTTCGTTCTCTGTCACCCCGCTGTTACGTTTCGTGCCCTTTGAGACAACCATTTAGCAGCGGGAGCCGCGCATACACCTGCGGGCCACGCTATTGAATGCCAGAGTCTGCCACCGTCTGCTCTCGTGTTTCGATGACTCCACGCTCAAGGAACGTCCTTAACAAGGCTCCTGGCCTCGATGCGAATTGTGTGGGTAGTGGATGCTCCACTTCTACTCACGTGCGCGACGCGCACATTCCCTACAATGGAAGAGGTGCACTATATGCTCGACCTTTTGGAAACTGCCTGTTTATGCTAAACCTGTATGTATCCAGTGCTAGTCCACGCAGCCAGCTAGCAGCCTACAGCTAAGCACAACAACGGGTGCAACTTGAACACGGGACCAACGAGCAACCTACTCAGTCCCCAAGCATGTGGATGTGAAACATGAGTGCGCCCTTCACTGACAGGCAGTCTGACAGAAATAAGGCCGTTGGCAGGCCTCCGCCTCGCTCTGATATGTTCTGATCTGCCGATCCTCCAACGCCCCGCCCCTTGGCTCGCTCGCACGCGCGCCCGTTGGCAAGGCGCCACATCGAATGCGAATTCGGATTAAAACATTCCGCCTACGGCTGCCCCACCATCCCGCATGTACGCTGGGTGAAGGGCTGCTGTAACGCGTTTAGTGTTCTAGCTGCAGGGTCAGCACCCCACCTTCGCATCCCCCTTCTCACGCAGAGAGCATTCATGAACTACTGCTGGTCGTGTTTGTGGTGGTGCTGCCGCACACCGCGTTGATCATCGCGTCGGTGGCGAACTCAGCATGGATCTGCCGCCCTCCGAAGAACCGTCCGTTGAGTGCGTGTTGAGCTGCTAGAGCCACGGAAGGAGCCGTGAACTTTACAAAAACCCTTCCTTCCTCATCCTTCTCGCTCAGCGAAACCTGAACAACAGAGCCATGCTTTCCGCACTCCTCCTTCACGTCGTCCCGGATGTCTTCAAAGTAATACTCGTCGTCTGCCGCACTAGGATTGAACATCCCCCGCAAAACCAAGTTTGACGTCATCACCCCTGGCGCCAGACCCCCTACGCCCACGCGAGGACCGCTCGAGCTACGAAGAAACTGCTGCTGAACGCAGTCACAGAGCAGCAGAAACGCAATGAAAGGAAAGGTTGGATGCAAAACAAAACAAACGAACCACAAACCCTAGACCAGCCGTAGGCCAGGAGAGATCCAAAACCTACCAACAAACTCTGGATACAATGATTAACCCATGATAGGCCAAGGAAACCATGTCCTGGACTTACTTTGTCTGTTGACGGGGACGCCTGCGGCGGCTGCTGCTGCTGCTGAGCCTCGCTGGTCGGTGAAGCAGAAGGACGGGCCCCGGCGCTCGACGCAAGAGCAGCGTTCGAGCGGTCCATGAGTTTTTGCATAAGTGCTTGTTTACGAGAAGGGTCGTGAATGTATCCGATATCATCATCATCGAGACCTCCCTCATCATCAGCATCCTGTGCCTGTGCCTGTCCTTCCTGTGCTTGCTGCGGTTGCTGCTGCCGCATGAGGCTAGCCGCCTTCTCCGCTAGCTGCTTCGCCAGCTGGGCCTCGTAGGAGACTTGGGTAGCGGCAACCACGTGAGCAGGGATGCCCGGCCCTCCCAGCAACCCCGGAGCCCCTTGGGGAGCCGCTACGCCACCCGGAGGTGTTGTAGGCGAGCCCTCTGGAAGAGATCCCGAAAGGCGCACTCCATCCGCTGCGTAACCTACCCTGAGTTCCTGTCCGTCTATTTTGAATTTGTGCATTTGCTGCATCGCGTCATGGGCGTCGCCTGTGGCGGAGAACATCACGAAGGCGAAGCCAACTCCCTCCCCCGTGTTCGGGTCTATGGGGAGGATGATCTCCTGAATGGCTCCAAAAGGAGAGAATAGAGAGTGGAGGTCATCCTTGGTTAAAGTCGCCAGGTTGCCAACCAAGCCCCCGACGTACACCCTCATCGGTATCTGCAGCGAGGCCGCGTCTGGGGCGGGGGTAATGGGGCACTTGGCTGCTCTGGCAGCTCTATTCTTCTCTGCCATGGAGGCCTGCACACGGAGAGGTTGTCCCTTAAAAGATATCCCGTTGAGGGCCATTGCCTTGATGACCGCCTCTTGGGTGTAAAACTCGACGTAGGCGACGCCCTTAGACACCCCCGACCGTTGGTCTCGAATCTGCTGGATGTCGCGGATCTTCCCCGCGTTTGCAGAGAAGAACTCGTAAATGTGCCTTTCGTCTGCTTTCAACGACAGGTTCAACACCAGCACTGTCAAGTCGTCTCGCCGAGCCTCCTCCACCTCTTTTCGACGCAGCTCCTCTTCCCGCTGGCGGCGAAGCAGCTCCTCGCGGGGCCCAAGACGCGTTGCTGTGCTCCCTGTAGACGGGTTTTCGCCACTAGCTCCTGAAGCAGAAGGGCCCCCACCACTTCCCCCCACCTGACCGTTCCCTCCTCTTCTTCCTGGTGACGGAGACCGGCCCGCATCCCTTCGCGGTCGATCGCGGCTGCGACTACGCCGCCCCGCAGGCGGCCACCATTCCCTGTCTCTGTCTCTTTCTCTGCGTCGGAACTCCCCCCCTCGGTGCCTCCCATAGTCATCTCCGAAACGCCGAAAGGGGCCCCCAGGTCCTCGAGAACGGAACTCGCGTCCTCGAGGGCCTCGAGACCAGGGGCCGTCGCGCCAGCCCCCATTGCGACGAGGAGACGGGGAACGTCGTCCCTCTCTATAGACCTCAGGGCTGCCGCCTCGACCCCCCCAGCCCCTTCTACCATCTGGACTTTGGCCACGGGGGCCTCGGCGGCCCTCTGAACTCTCGCCCCGCGGGCCCCCGCCTCGCCGACCCTCCGTGCTGTCTCCTCCGCGAGACGCACGACGAGCGCTGGAGCTGTCACCTCTCCCCTTTCTTCCTTCAGGGCTCTCTTCTGTTCGAGGGCCTCCTCCTCTACGAGAAGAGGGACTGCCCTCACCTCCTTTTCGAGGATCTTCTTGGCTCCTCTCACGACCTCCGCGTCGATTCTCTCTCTCTGGACTCCCCTCTGAACCCGACGAGCGCCTGGGGCCCCCTTCACCTGCTTTGGACCTCAGCGCTCCATTACTCACTGGCGACGCCTCTGCTGATGCTTTCTCGCCATCCTTGTCCGTCTTTTCCATCATATTTAGGACAGTGTCGAAGTCCAGATCCCCCATTTCCACCTCTTGTCAGTGCGTAGGCTCCAAGCAGCATGCAACACTCGCCCCCAAAACAGGGCAGAAGGGCTGCGTATTTCAGGGGGCAGATCGTCCCCCTACAACAGACCCGACAAGCTCAAGGAGAGACAGACGTGCGGAATGGCAGGGCACCCTTCCAGCTATTTATTGTAGTACAACGGATCTTTTGAGAGTGGCAACACAACCTAAACGTTCACAGAATCGTATGGGAGGATGCATACACCTCGTGCATGTCGTTCCTCCCTGAACGAGGTCCACCTATTTCTTCGTCTAGATGCTCCACGGGCGAACCAGACACCCGGGGGCACTCAAGAGCCATGCAAACGCTGGTAATAGAATGAAGAGGAACAAATGCGAAGAAAGGGAATCTTGAGAAGCCGCTGAGGGGTGGGAAACGGCCGACTGAGGGCCCAACCCCTGCAGCCATGAGGTGGGGGTGGGAGGGTGCAGGCGCCCCTTTCCGCTTCCCAGGCCTCAGTTGTAAAACAATTCGACCTCCAGGACTCAATCGCAAAGGATGTTGGGAATGAAAGTTCAATAAAGCTAGAACTTAACGCACGCAGTTTCACAAAGTATCCTAGTGCTGCGCCTGTTGTGGGCGGCTGCGGGGCTGGATGTGCTGGGGCTGTGGTGGCTGGGCAGCCCACAATCTTTACAGCGGAGCGGCTTTTAGCTCGAGAACTACGAGCTGTTACTTCAAGTACTATTTCGGCAAGTGAAGGGCTGTGAAACAGGAAATGTAGGTGCATATGCGACCGAAAAAGCACAACACACGCTACGCCCCTGGCTACGCGCTGCACACGTCGCTGTGTGGTTCTTGCGTATTCGCATGTGTCGTCTGTTAATCTATCATCATGTACAACAGATATAGCAAGGCTTCCGCTGTCTTCACAAACTTTCTCGGGGCCACTGAACCCGAGGGACCAACACCACACTTCTATTGTGAACGGAGTATAGCGTGAGTCCTCGATCTTACCGTAAAACAATTGTGAGCTGCCACCGCGTGGCAGTAATTAAGATGAGAGTTCCCATAGAACAGTTGATGAACCCGCCTCCAACCCCAGGAGCCCTGGGAACACCAGCATAAGGGCCTGGGGCTTGTGGGGGGAAAGGGCACATTCTGCCTTGGCTTGCAGCTACCCTTGCTGCAACACCAACAGCAAGGCACCAACCCCACATGCAGGCACAACCAAGCCCCCGATTGATGCATGCACTAGCACCGTAGATAATTGTTAAATACTTGTTTGGCCCTCTGTTGTCAGCCTGCATGCAAGGACAAGGAAATATACTACACACTTCACACGGACTAAGCTACGCTTAGCTACGACGGGATAAATCACCTCCATGCAGAGTGCCAGTAGTGGATTATTTGCTGTGCAAGTTCAGCTGCTCCTTCCGTCGTATCACTGGCTGCGCCGTCAGACGGCGAATAATTCCTCCTGCCCCTCTTCGGATACCCTGTCCTGTGTTCTTCTTCTCTACATGCTGTCGTCCCTGAGGCGACGCCGCTTCCTTCACTGTGTTGATGGTGCATCATGAAGGGTACTCATCCCTACTTGCGCAACCAAGTAATTTTTGTGCAGCTACCCGATCTTCTGACTGGTATGTTTTCTTCGCCTAGTGTTCATTCTCGGTTTGACATGATGAGAAGTGTGAGGTACTGCGCTTCCGCAGGAATGAAATATACATGTGCTTTTTTTGTTTCTACGTAAGTATCATCTACCTGAGTGTCGACTGCTTGTCTTCTCTGAAACTACCGCATGATAAAGCGTCAACGGGACACTCTCTACCCACTGGGGACACTCCTCGCGCTAACGTTGTCTACAGGCCTCGTGCGTACGTCCAAACCGAAGAAGCGGAAGCACGATAGGTATAATGCTCACGTAGCGGCAGAACTTGTTCTCGGTTGTAACAGGAAATCATATGAACAGTGGCAATTTTTTTGCACCTGCTGACAAACAAAAACCAAATTTTCCGAGTATGCGCTGTGTACCGCTGCGGGCTGCGCTCAGCAAGGAAATATTCTTGCACATACACCTTCTCTATGAGTGACAAAATGTACTTGATGCACATTTTGTTGAGAAAGTCTTGGAATAGTCGATGCTGAGGTTCAGAAAATTCCACAAGAGATCTTATGTAAAAACCTCAAGCAGGCATACACCCATGACCTTTCCTTCGCCTCCTGCTGCTTGTCCAGCACTTTAAGAATGTCATATGGGGTCATTTTCGGAAGAGTCACGAGAGGATAACTAGTTCCATCGGGAAAATCAGTCAATACTACCTGCACTCGCCCGAAATTAGGTACGTGCATGTAGGCCTCCCTCATAGGCAGCGCTCCGGCTTTCCTCCCGTGATGCCCTGCTCAACAGAAGAACAAAAGCAATAAAAAGCATTCCTCATGTCGCACGTGCAAAGGGGTGGTATGATGGCTGTCGGTTTCTGCAATCATGCGGTCACCATCATTGGCCTGTAGTGCGGGCCTCTTCTGTGCAAAATATTACGCATACTAGGTTGGTATCCTGCAACAAGCACTCACATTTATTTTCTAGCATGGCCTCATTGTGCCCACGAAGATGCTCGAAGTCTTTTGTCTCCTTCACGTTTGGCTCTAGGGTTGGGCGGTGAATTCGACTTAGGAGGAGGGGAAATTTTTCGTAGTTTGGGTACTCCTTCAGAACGCCGGGAGGGATGGGATGATCAAGCTGGTACTGCTTCACGTCTTCAGTGAAACGTGGGTCCTGAAGAATGAATACAAGCGTGACAAGACTGGGCCAACAAAGAAGTTCTGTAAGGTGGTAATTTCAAACTCCATTGACAGAGGTCCGTTCCAGTGAAGAGAATGAAATTTAGGGGACTAGTTCAAAGTTGCAGAGCAAGGCTGGCTTGGAGGGGGGTCTTCAAACTTCATTTTTCTAACATGGTGGAAATCTCACGTGCGTGTACATGCTTGGCCCGGCCATTCTCAACATATCCTCCTTAGGAATTTTGTCGATCAAGTTGGCGGTGGGCACTAAGGGCACGCAAACGCAAAACGCAAAATGACGGATGCCTGAGCTGTCAGGGTGCATAGGAATAGGCCTGGCTTGTGCTACTATTGGGGTTGACGGCTGCTACGGTGGAATCTCAGCATCAAGTCTGTTGTGAGAAGCTGAATAAAGCACTACGTCTATATAACGTTACCCAGTCAGATGCCTTACCTGTAATGAATTCGTCCAGCATGCTAATATGATCTTCTTTTAATGGGGGCAGAGGCTTGCCTTGTGCCTTTGCGCGAATGATCGCTGGTGTCATGAGGGTGCCACTTGGCACCTCCTCAACTGGTCGAGGAGATATAAGGACACCATGGCGAAGCACCTGTTCCCGTGGAGCTTGCCGAGGTGACGCAGCGGGGGGAAGCGCCTCTATTGTAGCCGCAGCCCCCTTGGGAGAAGGCAGCGCAGAAGAGGCATGTGTGAATTCAGGAGACCGCAAATAGGGACTGCTCGGTTCGCCTACCCCTGTACTAGCGACGGAATGGCGGTGCGAGCTCCCAGGATCGTGGAGTCTCGGAGAGCCAAGTATATCTTTCTTCCCAAGGAGAGGAAGATTGAGTGGCAACGACTTTTTCCCCTTCCCTTCCATTTTCCCCAGTCCAACGTATGAAAACTATGGGCTTCCGGATCCGCTGGAGCTGCTTCCCAACTCCAAAGTTTCTCACGGAACAGAAGATTCACTGATAAACAATCCCTTGGATAAAGAAATGCTCAAAGATTACCACACCGCAGCGGTTGTTGAGCGGGCTGAAACACACCGCCTCTGCCTGACCGCGAGCCCTTCGCCACTGGAAAGCAGCCTATCCCCAGAGCACAGAGAGCAAAATTAGTTAAAGCGGCTAGTTCCAACTTGAATAGGAAATAGAACAACGTACGTTAATGGTGCTGAAAAGAAGGTGTTGATCGTAGTTTCAATGCACCCTCCAATTGACACGCAGTCGAACGGGTCCGACTCGCGCTCGCCAGCGCTAAAACCAGCGAAAACCTTGATTAATACCTGACTAGTTTGGAAAAATTGACCTGATAAAGACTAAACGAATAAGCTGAGGAAGGAAAGAGCAGAAAGGGAAGGAAGGGTCCTCCCAAATCACGAGGAGCATCGACCTCGCCCGCGTGGCCTCCTGGTAGATGCCACAGAAGGTGCCCCTCCGTGGGTACGGACAAAAGTGATGCGGATGAGGCCAACGCCTAATTTCAGTTTAGTTTAACTAGTTACTGTATTTAGGCTGTATGTAGAGGCTATTTAGAGGGTTGGGGCCAGAAAAACGCCGCGACCACATCCTGATTGCGGGGTGAGCGGTCAGATATGGGACGCCAGAACCTGTATGTGGAAGGAGGTTCGCCTATTCATCAGTCCATTTGCAGCATACCCTACTGATGTGCATACAAAGTGGATACTGTAGTTGGACATGAAGGACAGCCTAGCAAATTGTGCGTCTAAGTACAAACGCCAAACACACACAAGTGTGCAGCCATCGGGAGTGGCTAGACAATGTACTTTCCTTCCACTTCATCTCTCCAGGTCGGTAGCAGCTAAAAAGGTGAACTCTGGCGATTTAAACTTGCCCTCTCCACTCATCTGCGGTGGCAACGCGTCTTCGCCCCCATCAGAAGGCCATGTATTTGAGGCATCACACTGTGAACGCCGAGAACAGCTGAACAGCTACAAAGAAATTATAGCAGTAGCTTCGAGATATGCAAATAACAAAATAATGCTACAGTAGCTTCTACAGACAGATCGACTGCGCAGTGAACGTTAGCCTGTGCGTAGCAACGGTCGCAGCATCGCGCACGGAACAGATGTGAGCTGCAAGAGTCGGAACGTGAAAGCTCCCCAAAATCAGCTAACAGCCCGCCTTACTTTTTCTAACCCTCGGTACAGGGGCACAACAGCCTGGGGTTGATTGAGAGGGGAGGCAGATGCAGCCTGCAAATCCTGTTGCCTGTTGTTTTTGGGCAGCCCCAAATGCAGTCATACCCAAGCCCCCGTTCAATTCGCACACAAGCACCGAAAGCAACTGCTATACAACTTTCCCCTTGGGAGCCGAACTACGTGCAAGTAGAACGCGCAACCTCAGCACTGACCACGCTACCAGTTTCTCCTCCTATCAGGCCGCATACTAATTTTGAACTCGGTGAGTTTCAGGGGCTGCTTAAATCTTTTGCTCAAGGAAGAATGCTTTATGCGCAAGAAAAAGGGATTAGAACTGTTCGTTACGTGACAGACCATTCTTTGAGACGGCATGCCTTTTCCTATGGACAGCTTGCCGCAGAGGCTAGCACACTGCTTTAGATTTGAAACGAAACCAGGAAGTCAAACAGCAGCAGGATTTTTAGGGGGATAGTGCGTTATGGATTTTCACTCTATTGCAGCAAATGTTTTGGGCAGGCGCTGCGCCCACGAGGCTCGTGGGTTGTCTTCTGAAAGCAATGAGAAAGATTTTCCCACATGCAATTGCGGAATTCAAGACACTAATGCTACTGAAGGTTACGGCGCATCTCTTCTAGTGAAATGCAGAAACAGGAATCCGAACGAAAGGCAAAAAGACTGCATAAAGACAGCATATTGAGCGTCAAGCTAAGTAACCAGCTGCAGTATCACAGTGCAACAGAGTATGCAATTTCCGAAGAAAACTTGCCTCCTATGCGTTGCGGTAGTCACGAAGCGTTTCATTTCATCTGCACAGTTCGTCTGGGAAGACGTTGGCAGGCAAGGTCTACGGCACTTCTTCTTACTCGAGGATAGTATTGTACAAGATATAAGGTAACTCTGGTGGAGTTGCATAGGCTACATGTGCGAATACGAAAGCCAAGCAGAGGGAAACGTGGGGGTTCCCCATCCTAGCATTCGATATGCTGATACACCATTCGGCAAAACGAGCTATTTGTCATATATGGCTGAAACAAGATAGGCAGCAACTAGGCATGAAGTAATGGATGAAGCGTTACCCAGAAATAATATTTGGGGAAAACCCCTGTCCCAACTACAGTTGGCGGCCACCAAATGAAATGCACTAAGCACCGCCTACGACAACAAATAAGCTGAACGGTGTCTCCATTCGTAGACCGCAGGCGAACGGAGAAGCTATTGTGCTTTTCCGCTCTCGAATGCCAAAAGGTCATTTACACAGGGAATTTTTCTGGATCAGACAGCTCAAAGCTGCCTGGTCCGTCCTCGACCACCACCGGTTACCTGTGCCTCAAGCCCCAATTGGGTTGTTCCGTGTCAGTTATGCGGTTAAACACGTCTACAGAGGAGCTGTAGTGCCCTCGGCCTCCACGGCGGACTTCAGAGCCTCATCGCGCCTGCAGGGCCGTGAACAGAAGAACAGCACAAGTGAAACACTACTGCTGTCTTGCTAGCAGTAAACGTCTAGATGACACCCAGCGAACTCTCAGCCACGGTAAAAGGACGCAGAATGGAAGAGTGTTTTTTCACGAGAAGTCACATGAACAGCAAGTCTTTATATACCTGGGGCCATGCCGCCCGGTCTCAGAACCAGTAAGTCACCGCACCAATACATGATAGGAAAATGGCAAATGCACCCGATGTAAATTTACGTGTTCGTGGGTTTCCAACATGAATGGATACACGTCTTTCAGAATTCTCTGCATCCCAAGGGGTCGAGGAGCCTCTCCAGCTTCATGTGGGGATTGCTCACATGTGAACTGCGACTTCGTCCAAGCAGCCTTCATCCGCTACGTCGTGGAAAGTTGTCATCTCTCCAGTTCCCGCTGCTTCTTCCTCGGCCCCAGGGTCGTCTATCGGCTGTTCCCAGCTTATGGGGCTGCATGCAGGTGCAGAAATGACCACCGCATGCGCATGAGCAGTTTGAGTTGCATCATACAGTAGCTTGGTATACCAGGGAGCAACATGACAGCATACCCTTCAGTTTGCAGTTCGTCGCCCTGTTCTTCATCGTCCTTGCTTCCCCTCTTCTGTTTTCGTTCCCTCATTGCTTTTAGGTTTTCCGAAAGATCGGCTAAAAAGCGGGGCGCATGCTCCTCCAGTAACTTCCTCTCGCGCTGCAGTTCACAGACCCCTCAAGACGTACCACAGCGTTGTCCATTTCCTGACTGCAAATGAAACAAGTTGAGCACTTCCTGCTGTGAGCGCAACAAAACCCCACTGAAGCTGTTGCACATGCCATTGTGGAGTGCAAAGGGCTCACGTGATGCGTCTTGCAGTACTTGAGAATCCACTTCGTGAGGATGGCGGAGTGTTGCGCATTGCGGCGGCTGATGGAGATAAGGGCTTGGCGAGCTTTTGCATACGCGTAAAGCCTGGCCCACGTTTTGTCTCTCCTGAGGAAGCAGCCGTTCCCAACCAACCAAAGATTGACACGCCCTCTCGTCACAGCCACGTTGAGGCGTCGCATGTCCCCTAAAAACCCAACGGTGCCATTCTTCGCCTCTTCCTTGTCACTGCGAATGCCGCGGACGGCTGAAAAAATTATGAAGTCCTTTTCTTGACCCTAGCAAGGAAGCAAGCACGCAGGAAGGGAAAAAGGAACAAGACGGTCCTTCCACAAGCTTTCCCATGCAAAACGAGCATGCAAACACCGCCAACCAGTCGGCAACAGCAGAACTCTGGCATTCCACAACGCGCAAAAAAACATATTAGGCCAATAGCGACAATAACCGGGGAGACAGGATGAAGGATTTGGGGCGACGCTAGACAAGCTGGTCTAAAGGTAGCGACAAGGACTGTTAGCTGCCCAAGCGACTGCCACACATATTACCTGGAAGCCATCTACTGTATTGACGTCTACTGGACATGACTTCCCCTCAGAAACCCCGAGCATCGCTTTGATAGTTCGACGCAGCAGAACGACTTGTTGTGCATAGGGGCTTATTACCGCAATACGGTGTTCCCATTTCGTATTGCCGGACGCTACGAACTGCAAAAGAAAGAAACTCCTCACGAACATTACCAGTGTCCCTTCGCTACAACAATCCGTAGCGAAGAAACATTGGCAGGGCCAGGAATGACACAATCAGCAAGCACTCAGCAAGAACAAAGAAATATCCTACCAGGCGGCGGAGAAAGTCAATAAGCTGCCTAACGAAATCAGCTTCTGCGTAGTTCACCAGTGAGGTGTGCTCTTCCTGCGCGGCAGCACGGGTCAAACCAATAAGCAACAAACTACAACCTTCTCCAATGCACGAGCGTTAGGTGTCCGCACATCAGCACTAGGGCCGCAGCAGCACATGCAACACTTTAGGGAGCCAGTTTCCCCATCCATCACGTTCCAATTCGAGGTGTCCTCCAGATGCACAAGGATGTGGGGTGCAGCGTTTGGAAACCCAACACCGTAGAAACTGCACACCCCGCATTTCCTCCGCAAGCTGTGCAGTATCTCTGCGAATAGCCCAGTGCAGTCAAGTTGTTTGGCACCTGGCGAGACCTACAGTGTGCTCGCTGTCGAGATTAAAAAATACGATGGGCTGGAGGATGGGCAGCCGGTGCCAAGAAGGAAATGGCGTCCACAGGCCGTTGGGCAAATGGGGGGCATCCCGCAACAGCCCTTCATAGAAGGCGACGGACGCGAAGCGGGAGATGGCAGGGTGCATGCGGTACTGCTGACTCAGCATGTTCGTTGGCTGGCCTGCCCCCTCAAGGCGTTGGAAGAGAGAGCGATCGTACCGCTGCACACAATAAGTCCCTAAAAACACCTGTTGGAGTGCTCGTCTCGCCACTCCAAGTTTCGGTCAGCAGCCCGCTCTTGCGCCCAGCTGCCTCAACAGTAGCTGTGATGTTGTGAGATGGAGTAGAAAAGCCTTTAATGCGGCGACAAAAAAGAAACAGAACGTCAGAAGGTCCAAAACAAGTCTACAAAAGAACCTTACCAACTGAATTGCATGGCGCGAAAAGATAGTGGCGGGGAGTTGCTTTGGGTCGCCCACGAGAATGAGTCTTCTGCATCCCAACCTAAGTGGTATGAGAGTCGCCAGTTCAACAGCCTGCACACGCGCAACATGCCAGTAGCACGCCGTGAAGCAGCGGCAAAGGCGGCTCATAATAATAACTTCTTAGGGCACAGTCTACAGACGGCCTGCCGAAAGAAGAGGCCAAGACGGCCTAAGGGCAGCTGAAGTGGAACGAGTAGGGCTAACGAGAGGCCCTTAAGAGCAGCCGTTTGCTGCTCACCTGGGAAGCCTCGTCTACAACAACCGTATCAAAACAGTCGGCAAGAGAGGTCAGGTCGTTGGAGCCGCAGACCGAAATGGTGGCGCAGACGATTACACTGTCCCTCAACACATCTGCCTTGGCGGCCTAAACACCGCGTCAATTCACACACAGACGCCGTCAACCGTGCATACAGCTCTAACCAGAGAAATATTAACCCCTGGCATACGCGCAATACGAGACAAAATGGAGCAAAAAAAATAATGTTGGAAGAAAGCTAGTCGCGCTACTCAGGCCAAAAGAGCCCTATAGAAAACCGATGAGTCCACCGGGATAGGAGCAAGGCTTTACACGAAGCAACGTGGATTGAGCACATATATATTTCTAGTCACCAACGGCACAAAGGCCTGGCAACGCATACAGGCACCTCACTGCTAAGGCAGCGAAGTTAGTGGATCCTCGGGCTCTAAGCCTCTGTAGGGCTTTGTACTGCAGACTGTGCTGCAGCAGCTCAGGATGTACATTAGGCCCCACGCGGACAACCTGCAACCAAAACTCACATGTGCACTTCGCAGAAACTGTCGCTCGCCATTCACATTCCCTTAACTACGCCACGTCGGCAACTGCAACCGAAGACCGAAGGGAAATAACCGAGTCGGCCCGGCTGAAGGGAGGCTAAGGACTGGCAGACAAGCTGGCATTGCCCACACAGTTACAACAGCTCAGCGAACAGGGTAAGAGAAGACTCACTGCTGGTGAGAATCTTTGGCCGCTACCATCAAATATTCCGCCTCCTGTCTCTGGATCGGCTGTCAGACGTTTGACGATCTCGTCAATTGCCGCATTTGATGGCGCACAAACTAATATCCGACTGTAGACAACATATACACCACATGCACCTATATAGAAGTGCGTGCATGTGCGTCTGCACATATGCAGGCACATATGCAAGCACATATACACGCAACTCTGGCCATACACCACATAACGCGAGTGAGCCAATTTGCATCCAGCTCATGCAACCGCAAACATACAGGGTAGGCCCCATTGGACAACTCCGTGTGAACAGCCCCTGGCAAGAACTAGGGACTGCAGTAGAGAATATCACTGGAGCAATTAATGCGAAACGACCCAGATGACGCCGAGCAAGGCGTCGGCATCATCTCCGTTTGGATGCATGGACGCACACTGGCTGAAGCTCATGGCGTTCTCTCGATAGGCAGATAGGCGGATCAGTGGGTACAGCCGCTGGCTGCAGCATCGATTGAGAGTCCAAATCCTCTAGCGCGACCTCGTCTGCATCCATCCAAGCGGCATAGTTCGCTGAGAGACGCAACACCGTACTATCCCTTAACAGTCACTCTTCGCAGAAAGGTGCTCCAGGGAATTCGCAGACCCGAGTTGGTTTTTCCCTAGGTGGCAATCAAGGGGAAACTCGGATCCGCAGGGACAGACAACTCAGTGCCAGACGCGAACTCCTATGCGATGCTTACGCTGCAGCCACGGACGCCACTTTGACTGAGACGTCGCTGCACCTTGTTCTCTTGCCCATGGGCTATCTGCAGTTCCCTCTGTTGCTCCCTGCTCGCTCTGCAGCAGACAGAGCAACAGCCAGAAAGGAACCGAGTGACACACGACAACATACCTCAAGACTCCTGGAAAGGACTGGCTGGCAGCGGGCTGCTGGTCCGTTGCGTAGGAACAGAATCGCCCCCTTGTCTGCAGCTGTGTTTCCCCGTGCTTATCGGTCTTCCGCTCACAGGCGAGCGCGCGTAGGATTCGTGTTGGCCCTCCAGCTGGGCATGGAGTATGACGGATACAACGCCAACAATGGTGGAAGTCTTCCCTGTGCCAGGTGGGCCTTGAATGAGAGTAACTCCCTCCACCTTGAGCGAATCCTCCAGGGCGGCGAGCTGGCTGGCGTTGTACAGACTTTCCAAACGGGCCCTTAGGGCCTCCGGGATCACAAGGCGCCGCTCTCCCTGTTGCGGCTTTTCCTCCGTCTGTCTCTCAGAGGCCTTTTGTGACGCCTCGTCCGCTGTAGAGGCAAGTGGCGTCTGTGCGCGCTGCCCTTCAGATGGTAAGGAGCCCTCACCGCTTGCACCAGTACCAACGGGCGGAGACACGGCGGCAGCCTCTTCTCCACTCTCCGACTGGACGCTCTCCTGGCCCTCCAGCAAGGGGTTGTTCAAAGGCCTCGGAAGCTTGGCTTTGTTCAACTGCAGTTGCGACGAGCCCTCGCCTGGCACGCGAAACAGACTGTCCTTCAGCAGCAGATCGGGCAGAGACATCAGACCCTGCGGTCAGCAGGACACCAATCCCAGAACACCCAGCAAGATGGTGGCTGCTGGCGCTGCAAGGCAAATGTGTTGGAGAGGCCTCATAATATGACAAACAATGCATATATACAAGCACACAGATGCGCAACAAACACGCAGACACCTACAAAGGAACAAGCGTTTGCGTGCCCACCCACATAAATACACAGGAAGACGAAAATAGATAAGCAAAAGAACACGCATAAACGCGCACCCACGTGCTACCAGGAATACAAACAAGCACGCCTATGCACAAAGGCATGCACATACATGCAGATACTAGACGGAAAGGAATATTACACCAGGGACACGCGCAACAAAGGCAACCGGGACCAGAGGAACAGTCTCCGAAGCAACATGAAGAGCACACCTGGAATTCTCTGTGTAGAGTTGTGAGGGACATGATTCGCTGCACAGTCCACTTGGTATGCTGAGCATTGAGGGCTTTCACGAGCTTCAGCAGGCGACAGCGGTCCCTAGGCAGCAGAAAGCCGTATGGGCGGCCAGTGGCCGGATTATACACAAATGCGGAATCCTGGCCCTCCTCCACTCCCTGCGCTCCTTTACCATTGTATGCGGGGCCTAAAGGGGTCAACACCTTAACACTGATGGCTTCGTGCTGCCCCTGAGACACAACTCCGAGCACGTGGCAGTCGGTATCTTTGGGTCTCAACATTCGGGTCAACGGCAGTGCATCTGCCTGCACAGCTGGAAGCTCCCCGCTAGAGGCCTTCATCGCACTGGGGTCGTCGTCTTTGTTCCCTGAGTCTTCTTGGGTCTCCCCTTCGCTCGCTTTGTGCGGCGCTGTCTGCTTCTCTGCCTCGTCATCAGCCACTCGATTTGCCGGGAGGTACATGAGCACCAAGTCTCCGTGGCAGTAGCGACATGCAGAAGAAGAAACAGCAGCAGCCATCCCTCCCGATCGACTCAGCAGCAGAGACAGGAAGGAACCCCGAGGCTCACCGCTTTGCTGCAACACGACCACACATAAAAGGTTGTTTTCCAAGTGACGTATCTCTCCCCTGTAGCTGTTGAAAGTGCTGGAGAGGCACAAAGTAACGAACTCTTCTGCCCTTACTTGCACCGAAGGGCGAACAGGGAAGTGCTGCTGACAGACTGACCTGCACGAACTCCTCAGGAGCTCCCAGGTCCAGTTTGATGGCTCTTGCTAAGGCCTGTTTGGCCTCTTGAAGGAACAAAGGGAGGAAGAAGCCGATATACACATTTTCGTTGGGTATTACTGTGGGGATGGGCCGTAGGTATTCCCGTTGTTGGTGCCCCTGTGAATTTTTCTCGGAAAATTGGGCATCTTGTGATGTACCCTTGGCCTCCTCGCGCTCCTCCTCGCTTGCATCGTCTTCATTTTCGTTTTCACTAGTTTCACTCCCTTCGTTTAAGTCTTCAGAAGCCACAGAGGCTGGTGAGGACTTCCCCGTCGGAGTGTGGACTTCCTCGCGGAGGTCTGCAAAAAAGTCGAGCCCTAGCAGCAACTCGTTCAAAGGATCCACAGAAGGGAGCAGGCTCGAGCCTTCTATGTGACGGTAACGCTGTAGCCAAGCTGACCCAAGGCGTTCCGCGCGCTGCAGCTCTTCCTGCGTACAGACGTCACGCGATTTCGACGAGCTCTGAGAAGTGAAGGTGGAGGCCCCCGCATGGCCTCCGCCTTCACTCGACAGAGACACCATCTGAGCCGCCACAGCAATGGGAACCGGGGGCCTCTCGTTTTCTTTTTCTCCTGTGGGGCCCCTGCCCTACCGGCCTCCCTGCTACTCCTGTTCGGCGGTGACGAGGTAGTTGGCAGTAGTTCTGCCCCCCGTGTTGTCCTATGCAACGAGTATAAACATGGTGACCGCCTTATTTAGCCTGCTGGTGCACCCGCCTGGCCCTCCTGAAACCTGTTGAAGATGCCTCCACACAACTCGAGGAGGGACATCGAGGGTCTCCTCGCGGCGTTGGACTTCTGGATTTTATCATGAACTGGTTAAGACTAACGGCAACTGAAACATTATAAAATGCCAAAACTGACTCAGACTGCTAAGGAAATATCGCAAGAATAGGCTGGTTTCTGCTTCTGGAACGATCCATGCTCTTTGTACTTGCGAGCTTATCGAGATGGTTCGCATGCAGTTCAAAGCACCAGAGTACACTGACTAGATTGCATCATGCCTCTTCCCTTTAAACTCAGTTTTTGAAGATAAGGTATGATAAAAATAAACCCAAAGCAATAGTCATTCCCCCCCTGTGCCCGTAACATCGGGTCCCCCCGGCCCTGCCTGACTGCAGCGGTTGGGGTGATGAAGGACCTGGAGGGCACCTATCAAACAGCGTCATATACCCCATGAAGGATCAACGGCCCCTTGACCCGCATGCTGCTGCGGCTGCGGCGGCCCGGCGCCTCAGCAGCGATCGGCCACTGTTTGCTGTTTCCTTGAGCACTGCGGTGTCTCAACTGCTGAAGCTAACTCCAACACCTGAGTCTACTGCTTGTTGCTCGCCCTCTTCAATTCCCGTATCCTGTGCTTCGTCGCAAGCTGGAAGTGGGGCCCTTGGAGTAGATGGCCTTCCGCCAGAAGACAGGACATTCGGGCGGGCAACGGGGGACCCGCAGCACAAACAGAACACTCATGTAGACGCAGGCCAGGAAGTCAACCACACTCTTCAGGCGCAGTGGCTAACCAGGCGGTTCATTGCTCAGGTCCGAGCCCACTTTGAGGCCGTCCTAGCGGCATCACCTCAGGAAGAGGGGGAGGCGGCTGAAGATGGCGGCGAGGAGGCGTCGGCATGCGAAGGAAAAGAGAAGGAAATAATCATGTACCAAAGATCTGTTTGTACTGCAGGGCTTCGCTGGGGACTTCTCCTGCTGCTCTCAGCCGAGTCAGCTCTGCTCACTGAGCCAGCACATCAACAAACGCCCCAAAGCCCAGCAAAAGGACACCCAAACAAACAAAACGAAAGCTGCCTTTCTTCAGAGAAAACTCGGCTTGAGGGAGAGGCCCTAAACTGCAACGGGCATGATAGGTCAGAATCTGTCGACGCAGTATTAAGGGGTAAGAAGGGCGAAAGTCAAGAACCGGCTCAGGTTGCGGTTCTGTATCCTCTCAAAGAGAAACGGAACCCTTCATGCGACGCATTTTCCTTTATGGTTTCTCAATACCGTTGTTTTTGTGCTTTTCTGCAGAGGCTCTCTTTGCCTTCGAGATAATCATCCGAGTCTCCCCCACGACAGCCTCCCGAGTCCTCCCCAAGGTATTGGAATGGCTCGACTGGTGCCTCTCAGGCGCAAGGGGGCACCATGCGTTGCTCTCGGGAGAGGGAGAGGCGGGTAACCAACGGCAGGATGTTGCTCTGCAAAATGCGGTGACGGATGGCTGTGAGTGCCCACTGGAGCGACGTGTGCACCATATTAGGACAGGCTCTCTCTCAGTACTCTTCACGTGCCCCCTACCCAATTGTCTCGTTCGAGGGCGTATTTGCAGTCAGTCGGAGCATCTTAACCGGGTCCGTTTGCTGGCACTTCTCTTGCGGGGCCCCAGGGTACTCCTTGGATGTTCCAGGCTCCTCGTCGCCTGTGTAATGGCGCCCAGTACAGCAAACGGGGGTTGTGGAGGCGACGGCAGCGGCAGCATGCGAGGAACCGCGCCGGTGAACAAATTAGAAGGGGAGAATGCCAAAGCTGCGGCTGAGGTGGAGGCTTCTCTACAGCGCCGGCTTTGTGCGGAAACAGTTGACCAACTGCTTGTTGCTATGAAGGATTTGAGATCCGTCCTCATCCCCAGTGCTCAAAATGGTGAACCACGCCAACCTTCACTGACACCTCACCAGAAGGAAGGAGGCATTGAGGGCCTGAACGAGGCTGAGAAAATGATTCTTGCAGCTTGTTTGCCCCCTGTGCTTCGTTGGGCGGCGGCTCCATCACGGCATGCTCTAGCCGGAAGCCAGAAAGGACGCGGAGACGCCTTCCCAGCATACAGATCTGCGGCGCAGAACTTTTCCTGGGCTTTTGCCGGGACCCAAATCTTGGCGGATGAGGGTGCACCACGAAAGGCAGCGCTTTACATACTCGCTACTATTCAGGTAAGCGAAGATGCGGGGACCGGGAGCAGTGGCGAGCCGGAAAAAAGAACTTTTGCTGCCGAAAGCTGGACTTCGCTGGAAAAATGCGTTGGAATTGCCGTTCCGTGTCAATTAGATCCCATCCAGTTGCCTATTGCTGGTTTGGACTCAGGGCTTACTTCTGTCGTTTGCAGTGAATGTACAAGGGTCGTCAAAATGTCTAGACACCTTTGGGGTTGCTGCCGCTGCCACCGATGGGTCGGTAGTTCGACAAGCTCAAGGTCAGGGGCTCCATCCGGGCAATCTGTCCTACTGTGCTTTTGCAACCGTCCGGAGTCATCGGATTTCTTAAATATTTCCTCACTGAATCAGCTCCACTGCAGTGTTTCTTGTGTTCCCCTTTGCTACTCTCTGCAGCTCTTCTGAAAGAAGTCGGTGAATTCTTTAGTTTCCTGCCAAATATGTCTGTGGAGCCACATCCCCTGGAACTACCGCCTGGCACATTCATTCATGCGGTAGCGGGCCTGTGCTCCCGTGCACTTACGGCCAAAGAGCTCCCAAAAGCTTTCCAGATAAATGCGAACCGCGCCGACTCTCGCATTTTACTAACAGCTACAGCAGCAGCCTCAGTTGCGAAAGTGCAGATTGCGGAACGAGGTGGAGGAATAGATCCTCGCTGCCCACTAACTGGTGAGGCATTATGCCGAATCAGACCCAAGCGTTGCTCAGATACCGTCTAACAAGCGTTCATTTGCTACGATTTTGCGCTGTTAATCTCGCTCCGCAGGGCGATTGCAACTGCCAGAAGGCCTTCCTGACGAGCAGCTGATTGAACCTTTTCCTGTAAAGGCGAAGTCCGGACTTGCAGCAGTGAATGGATGTGGTGAACGAGCCTTCCTCTCGTACCTTAGTGATGAGGGGGCATTTCGAATGGCTATACACGTTTCCCGCATCTTGATCGCACTCGTGAAGTCCGTATCTGTAAGTTGGAAGGTGTCAGTGACAGTTGCATTTAGTCGTCTAGGAGATGGCTGTACGCAGTAGTGAATGCTGGTAGCCTGTTCTTTTCTCTTTCGCAGCTAGGGGATGGAGAGCGCAGCCTAGGCTTCATTATTCCGCCCCTTCTCCGCGTGTTGGACGTTCCCCAGGGTACGGATCAAACTGCATTTTCCTTTGGCGCTGTGTCTTGAGCAGTTGGTGGCAAGCAAGCATTTCAGTGGTGCACAGGGTGGACAGTGTAGTGGGGTTGGTCATACTCTGCATTTTTGCGATGTGTATTTGCTGCCTGCTTGGATATCAGCCGAAGCTCGTTTCTTGGGTTGGAAGTGCCTCAACGAGGTAGTCGCCAGTTGCCCCATAGGTGGTGAGCAGCACCACGTATCCCCCGGCGTTCAGTGCTAAAGAACTAATGGATTGGGCGATATCGCTAACAGCGAATGCTTTTAACATGCTACTCGTCAACTATGATGTGTCCGTTTGTTTGTTTGTTAGCACTAAATAACTACCGCGCGCCTATTATGCAGGTGCGTAGCTCTAATACGGTCCTGCACTCTGCGCTAGTTATTTGAGAACATGAGCAGTATCATTGCTCTCCCTCCGCATGGAGCTGCTGGTGAAACGCTTTACCTGACGTATGGCATGGGTGTGATGGTTCTGGCCGTTTTTTTCTCAGGCTCTGACGGGCGGTTTTCCAATATACACCGAAGTCGACGTCTGCTTTGATGCTTACCTTGAGGCATTTACGGCATTCGTCTGTCGTACATGCGCAGACGAATATGACCAATCATTCTTTGATTGGTGCGCAACACACAGTCTCTTGCGAGTTTAAACTTTCCTGCTTTCTGCCGGTCTCATACATGTGGAAACTAAGTAAAAGCTTCGTAAGCTCCTTGCGTTGTGCACTCAGCCAAAACTTTATTATCGACATGTGCCATCCCGCCCTAAACTCGTCGGAGAGCCTTCGCTCAGCGTTTTTGAGACGATCCAGGGCACTGCTGATCTTCGCTGGAGACTCGGCAAACCTGCGCCTCTATGACTGGATGAGCTTCTGCCTTGAGGCGTTGGAAAGTAGTTCGCTAGAAACCATAGGAGAGGGTATGAATGCAAAACCTCATTGAACCATTACACGGAGAAGTGCGCGATGGATCCTTGTGCTGGTGACCAGTGGGTGGGATGCACCGTTTAGGCTCGTGTGTTCAGGATTGCAAAGTCTAAAGGTGTTGCTCTCCGTTGGCACCGACATTGAAGAGTTTCTGCCGCAGATTCTTTGCCGCTTGGCTACCATAGCCTTAGTTGCAAAGGAAGAACCGGTGCACGCATGCCCTGCGTCTTGCTCCGCACAGCTGTAAGTGGACGATGAGTGCCATAGTCAAAGGGGCAAGGAGTTGGCTACAAGTCGTATCAACAGCAGCAGCATTTCTTCAGTCTGGTTTGTGGAAATGTTCTTTTTTGCAGACTGCTCTCAGAATCAGTCGACTCGATTGCCCATCAACTGCTTCACACAGCAGACAATCAGCTTCTATTTACCATTTGCGCAAGGGTTATTTCGCACTTTCAGGAGCGGCGTTCCGACGAACCATATCTTGTGGATGCCATCACTCGATGGCTTTCATGGTTTTCTTCTCTGCTTCAAGAGGGAGATACGGAGGAGGAGAGAAACAGGGCGAATCCAACGCCCTCACGCTGTGTGGCCTCCAGCCAATGATAGCCATGACGTTCAAATCCTGTAGGACTTAATCCAAAGGCGATTCGTTTTCCTACTACCTTCTTGAATAATGAAGATTACAAGCATTTAGCTGGCGCATCCACAAAGAACGAAAATTTCCCTGTGGTTGTTTGATCAGGGAATGCCAATATTATGGGAACTTCGCTTCCGTTGAATCGATTCCAACGATGTCGACAGGAGGAGCATTAGATTTAACAGTGATTGAAGATACGTAGGCAGACTCACCTCTGTTGGCAACAGTGAATTCACCAGCGCAGAATTCCTTTTAAGAAGCTGAGGCCGGGGAGGTCTAGATGTCCCTACTGGCTATAGTCTCCAGCTTTCGTGAACTCCCTTGTAGAATCAATACGATAGGTCGCTAGATGTATTGGGGGCATTTCCGAGGTCAGAGGAAATGAGAGTTGCCTGTGACGAAGTGTTTTGGTCCGCCTATTCATGTAGTGGGGGATGCCAAATGCCGTGCTCTGTGCTTGGCTGGCGTTATTATTTGCAGCAACAGTAATGTATTGCGTGACTACTATGTAGCAGACTCAGTTGGAGTAAGGATTCAACAAATAGCTTATAAGATTGGGAACAATTAAAAAAAAAATTGTTCAGAGTGAGACATAACTCAAGGGGGGTTTTCCCTTAAATCTGAAACATCTTCAGCATGCGGTGGGTGACAAAGAATCCACCTAAAGATACGTGATTAGCAACTATTTGTCATTTTTCCGTTTGAGACACCCATCTTACCAGCAATGTTGACGGAAGCCAGGAAGGTTCCAACAAGAGCAAGAAGAGTGAAACCAGATATTAATGCAGTGCCGTACTCTAGCATGCAGCCGATGACGATAACTCCTGACAGCTGAAAAGGGAATGAGTGTGTAGCTGAATGGCGGACACGTAGCAAATAGTTGACTTACAGCGTTTGTTACGGACATCAGTGGCGTGTGCAGGGCAGGTGTAACGGCCCAGACGCTGGAAAATGTCCCCAAATGAACCAGTCAAGGGTGTCTTTGAGTGGTATTGACTTACCAGTAATAACCGACGATGAGAGACAAAGCGAGTAAGGTCAAGTGCTTGAGCTCCATGGGGTCGAGGACAATGCCAAGAAGCCCCACCACGGCAGCGGCAACAACCAGGCACATGGCAAAGAATGCATCTGATGCAAGGGCTTGTGCAAAAGCACCTCCAGCCTTTGCAGGAGCTGCGCTTGGCGCAGATGGCATCGGCACGCGTGGGGGCGTTCTTGAGACGGGCGTTGGCTGGGGGGGCTGCCACACGTTGCCTGAGAGCAGAAGTTAGCAGCAGGGTGGTTGTGGTAAAGAAGATAATTGCTCACGGCCTTGATAGACGGCAACCAATCCTCTGATAACTTCGTCGTCCATGTTGACGCGGAAGTTGCTGCCGCCACCTAGATCTTCGAGAAGGTTGCAGATGTTCATGGAGAACAGCTCTGAAGCCTGGACTGGCCTGAAAACGCGAATAGACTGTCGTCATTAACTATGGAGTTCCTAGGATAGACGAACGTACATGCGGGTTTCAATGCGTTTGCGTCCAATGACAGTGATGCCGTCGACCACGACCTGGTCGTCCTTGGGGGAAACCTCAACATTTCCTCCCCATCCAGAGCGCGTATCGCCGAATTCAGTTGCAATGTCCACAATGACAGAGCCAGGCTTCATTGAGCGCAGCATGTCGCGTGAGATAAGCTTCGGAGAAGGCTTTCCGTGGATGGCAGCGGTACATATGACAACGTCACAGTGCTTGATTGTGTTTGCAATCAACTCTCTTTGGGCCCTCTGGTACGCATCACCCATTTCGCGTGCATAGCCTCCGAGAACTTCAGCTTCCTCCCCCTGTTTTTACCATAATGATTTGTCATCCTTTAGATAAGGGAAGATTTGATTTACCATTCTCAAGCCAATGAACTTTCCACCACAAGATTCGACCTCCTCGCGTGTTGCGGAGCGCACATCATGACCGAAAACTTGTGCACCCAAACCATGGGCAGTTGAAATAGCCTGGAGACCGGCAACACCGGCACCGATAACGAAAACCTTGGCAGCCTCAACACGGCCAGCAGCGCTGATGGACGCCTTGCTGAGCTTTGGGAGTGCGTTGAATGCTTCAATGACTGCGCGATAGCCCTGGAGGCCTTGCATCGCAGACCTGTAAGCATACGGTTAGCTGCTTGTCGGGCACCACGTGAGTGTGGAAACTGCTTACTTAACGTCTAGCTTTTGTGCTCTGGTGACACGTGGCACTTCGTCCACAGCAAGGGCTGTGACTCCTTGACGTGCAAGCATGTCTAATGCTTGCGTGTTGCTGAAGGGGTCAGCGTTGTCGTTTAGCATTGAGGTTGTTGACTGTGTCATGTCACTTACACGCTGGGGAAGAGGTAGCTGATCAGCACCTTGTCTCTGGGCATGCGGGAGACCATTTCCGGTGTTGGGGCTGACACGCGGAGCAGCACCTCAGCTCCGTTGATGACTGCATCGGCGTTGGACGCAATCTCTGCTCCAGCTCTTCTGTACTCTTCGTCACTGAAGCCAGCATTCGCGCCAGCACCGGACTCGACGATGACACGGAATGCCATCTTTCTGAGCCTTGGAACAAACTTCGGGGCAATGGGCACCATGACTGAACCGTTGGAATCCTTGAGAACACCAACAGCCAATCTGGGATAAGGCCATGACGATGGGTCCGCGCGCTCATCTCTCTCGAACTCGAGGAGGCCAGCTTCGAGATCATCGCGAGCAGCGGAGGGAGGCATTTGTTCAGCCCTCTAAAACCACCAAATGCGAATCGCGTAAGATGCAAAACGAACGAAACCAACGTACCGCGTTGACACGGGCGAACACAGCAGAAGTTGTGTTCTTGGCATTTCCAAAGAGCATGCGGGTGTTCTCAAGGTGGAAGAGCGGGTTCTCAATGCTAGCATATCCAGCTGCCATGGAGCGCTTCAGGACAAATACGCGTCTGGCCTTCCATGCCTCAATGACTGGCATGCCGGAGATCTTTGATCCTGGCTCAAGAGCGGCAGGGTTGACGGTATCGTTAGCACCAACAACGAGGACAACGTCGTAGGAGCTCATTTCAGGGTTAACTTCAGACATCTCCTTGACGATTTTGTAGGGGACATCAGCCTCGGCCAGCAGGACGTTCATGTGGCCTGGAGAAATCGTCAGTAGACGTTCTTAAAAAAGTGTTCCCATGAGTGCTATACCTGGCATGCGACCGGCGACTGGGTGGATGCCGAAATCAACAGTAATGCCACAGTTCATCAGGTTCTGTATTCGTCAGGTTAGTGAATGTTGATCATGCGCGATGGTGCAAGTGAAGCCTCACCTTCGCAATGTCAGCGAGCTCGCTCTGGCACCTTGCAACTGCCATTCCGTATCCAGGCACGATCAGGACCTTCCGGGCAGCCAAAAGTTCGTCAGCGACCTCATCAGCATTGGCTTGTTGAACAGCGCCCTGTGGGGCAGCTGCACCGACTCCCTCTGCCTCCTCGAAGCCTCCAAGGACAACATTCCAGAGACTCCGGTTCATGCCCTTGCACATAATGTAGGACAGGATGGCACCGGACGAGGCGATGAGAGCACCAGCGATGATCAGCAGGTTGTTGTCCAACATGAAACCACTAAGAAAGGGGTCGATTTGTTTGGAATAGAGAGTAGTAGAGTAATGTCCTTGCATACCTGGCAGCGAGTGCCACTCCGGAGTACGAGTTCAACAAGCTGATCACGACAGGCATGTCAGCGCCACCGATGGCGGCGACTAGGTGGAAACCGAGCCACATGCTCAGGCCAGCGTTGACATAACTGAGTACAGGGATGAAGAATCGGAAGGGGGAGATGAGCAACCACGGGCATCTTACAGGCAAAGCATCCGGGTGAAGTGGCCAGACGAAACGCAGAAAAGAGCGCCAAGCACGCCGATAGCAGCAATGGTGGCAGAATTTAGTGCGTGACGGCCGGGGACTCTCAGGGAGCGGCTCTCCATTGATCCATGGAGCTTAGCGGCAGCCACAACGGATCCTGTGAAGGTGATGCCAGCAACAAAAACTCCAACATAAACCTCCAACAGACGAAGGAGAGAAGAGGCTCTCTCGACTCCGGCGGGGGAGTGGAAATTGGCGAATCCAACCTGATGCAAGGTGCATGAGAAAAGGCACATTCGCCTATGCCAATTGGTAGTGCCTTACCATCACGGCAGCGAGACCGACAAAACTGTGGAAAAGCGCCACAAGTTGAGGCATCTCGGTCATGTTTACTGATTGGGCAATGTATAAGCCCAAACCAACTGCAGGTGCAGCTGTGGCGAAGAATAGCAGATAGTGTTGACCGAATCCTGCCTCCGTGAAGGTGACTACAACGGCGGCAACCATGCCCACAAGACTGGGGGAAAGCGAGTTACTGTAGGATGCTCAAAATTGGCAATTTCGAAATCAGCATACCCAAGGATGTTCCCGCGCTTCGCTGTCTGGGGTGTGCTTAGGCCTCTCAGACAAAGAATGAAACAGACGGCAGAGAACAGGTAGACGGCTCCGAGGAGAGAAGGCATGTTTGAAAAGGCGAATTTTGAAATTGCACCACCTTCCGGGTTCTCAGGTCGAGCTCCATCGAAGCCTTCATCGCCTTCACCGGGCCTGCAGAGAGAATTGCACCTGTCAAGCAGAGGGCAGAAAGGCAACGAGCATACCGGTTCACGGGGAAAAATTCGCCCATGCGGACGAGATGGCGTTGAATAGACCTCAGGTTTGCAGCCGGGAAGTCGAACTCGGCATTGGTGGTTGTGCTCAAGAGAGCCACACCTAGGCATGTTGCCAGGAAAACAGTTGATAATCCACTGGGGCGCCACATCTTCGCAAAAGAAATCGGGAAGTCTGCTGCAGTAGAAACAAAACCAGATTGCCCCTCAGGTGCCGCTGTTTTCTGGCGGACCGTTGCTGGTTGAGAATGTTTTGATTCCAAGAATGAGCCTCGAGGATCAAAGTGATCCGCAAAAATGGTCCGCTGTAGTGACACCACAAGCTCGTTAAGAACCAGACGAGGTCCCACGGCGTTGTCTCGTTCGCATTAGCCGCTGCAGCTTGTGCCTTTAAGGCAGGACTTTTAAACAGATTCAGCTTTAATTTCAGAAGGCTGAACATGGGAACACGTTGTTCCCAACAACTCGTCAAGTTCGTCATTGGCCGCTGGTCCAAGAACAAGGTGGCGGCATGGCTATCGGAACTAGACCTCGACGAAATCTTTGCTCTAAAAGGCATGTGGAACATGTTTGATCTTTAATATTCCATGCAAAGTCTTCAATTGATTAAGGAGCCGTTAGCCTAAGCGTCGTTGTGCCTCCCCTGCAGATGCTCTCCTGAGCAGGTTCGACCACCACACCTTACAGAAAGACACATTTCTTTGGACAGTCCGAAGGAGACAGCTTATGTTCTGCCTAAACATACGGGTATTTATCCTCACGTGTGACCAAAGGAATATCCATTCTATTTTTTTAGTCCAACATAGCTAGTCTTGCGTCGTAGCAACGGTCCTCCATGGTATCTGAAAAGTTTACAGTGGCAGACCGATCGCTTGCCCCACAACAGAAAGTGTGTCAAAGTGCCTGAAATACTTGTTGGAAGCCAGAGATCACCACCCTCTCTTGAATTGAAGCGTTAACTTTGGGACATACGACAAAGGCTGCCCCACCACACCAGTGTCGTCGTCCGGCAGCCCATACCGCCATCTCAGAGTTCATGTTGACATAATACTTTTGAGCGATACCGACTAAATCTCTTTTTCACCAAAGAAATTCCACAGCATTGCATTTCTTGGGAATTCCAAGTCACATCCCTGCTCTATTAGTGCAGATATTGCGTCGAGCCACGCTCGCTTACAGGCAACATTGCATTGGTTTCGTGCGTAAAAGACGAGATAACAGAGCAGTCTTCAAGGAGCGTACTAAAGCACTGAACCTTTGATGAACAGCAATCGTGTGATCTCCGTTGCCTAGGTTTTGCGTAGTGAGAGCATCACAGAGAAGTGCTATTGGTGGTTGATACGAAGAGCAAGCTTTTCCTGAGGGGAATCAATTCTTGAAGAGTGACAGTAAGAGGCAGGGCCTTCGGGACTTTTCTTCTGCAAAGAATCATATTCGAGAGGCTTTATCACACAGAACCTTACAAGTTCCCAACGTCTCGTCCAAGCGGAAATTACTGGCAGAAAGGTAGAGACAAAACAAGATGCACCACATGCTTTTGTAAACTGCAGCATCTCTGTAGCCTGATTCTGTCAAAATGACAAAGGGGTGGCTTCCTGTACAGTGAGGGCAAAGAGATCGCATGCAAATACGTCGCAGCTGCAGACGGCGTATGGAATATCATCTTAATCATACAGATAGTCCCACAAATCGTCCAACCAGAATTGTTTCCTTACTTCTATACTTGATAAATGGGCCCGGAATGACTCTTTGTATTGAAAGGAACTGTTAGGGGGCGTCATGGTTGTTTTTGCGCACCTGAAGCACTCCAAGCTTGAAAACAATCATTTTTGCTTGCCCACATACCAACTAACGAAACTACAACGTAGACTCCATTGCTCCGGTGGTGACCTTCTATTGGCCTTCAGAGGCAGTTAGTTTGTATGCGGTAAAGGCTCGACGATTGGTCTCCCTGGGTCAAAAAGGGGGAGGCAGCTTCAGCCTGGAAACGCATGTGAACAAAACAGGTTTGAAGATCTTTAGGAGTGCATACCACCATCACATCCGAAGGGAATATGAAGACCAGCCGGTTTGGTTCCTCTGCGTGCTAGCTAACGGTTAGCTTAGCACTGGGTTTCGAAGATTTCAAGAACCACATGTCATGGAGTTCAGGAATGCGAGTACTTTGTGAATACTGAATCCCCACAGGTGCTTGGTGCCCTGGCTCGCGTTGAACAAAAGGCAACCGCCTCTGCTATTCCTGTTTGAATCCTGGTTAGAGGTATAGACAAATGCTAAATACGTGTCACGACGGCACCTTGCAGCTTATTAAATTCCCACGCTGATTCTGCCTCTTTCCGAAGGAACGATGCGCTTCATCGCGGTGCGCTTCAAAGCAAATGCGCGCACCACACAAGGCAAATCTGCTTGATTAAGGTGAAGCTCGCCAGTTTCTCTGTTTCCCGTGTACTGTTCAGGCTAAAGGCCCGGAAGAATTGTGGCCGCAGACGTGTAGCGGAAGACCAATCGCCTGTCGCAGTCTCTGTCAAGGCTACACCTGCCAGAGTTCAGCGGCCCTTCAGTCCCCACATCATTGAAAAATGTTAGACTATATGCTCGGTTTCGTCCCTTTTGGCTCCGCTGACCAAAGTTGACGGCCATGTAGACCGCAAGCAGCGATTTCTGGAAGAAATATGCTCATATGACCCAGATTCGTGTGCGCGTGGTACTCTGAACGATTAAGTTTTGCAGGCATCGTTAGTTTTTTCCCACCGTTGCATCAAATGAAAGCAATCTGTCATGAGAAGATGTAAACTTGTGCTCTTTCCAGGGAAAACTTGCAGGGGTATTGTTGTTCCCACTGATGCAGCCATTAACATCTGGAGAAAGATGAGGCGATGTCTCTGAACTCATAGTGAGTGCACCGTAGCCAGGCAAAGCGTTCCAAGTCCCAAATGAGCTGAAGGACTAGGTCTAGGTATACTAGCTGTAGATCAGTGCAGCTTGTAATGCTTATCCCCCAACAACAAAAACGGGTGAGCCGTTTTTGGCTGTGTCTACACCGTTTGACGAAGATATCCACTCTCCCCACTTTGATTCCCCAACAATTTGACCGTATAGCAAGCCCCACTACGGTAATATGGCTACAGAAAAACACAACTAAGTGAAACTGCGCACTAAATGGAATGCCCATCACTCGCATGTGTTGCTTCATGGCCCTGTTGCATGCCCAGCACTTCAGATCTACACTGGCTTCCCTGCACAGTGCCGCAGTAGAAAAAGCGAACATACAGCGCAGTATATATATATATATATATACATATATATACACTACCTATATGCAGGGTGCGACAGAAACGTAGAGATAATAAGAGGTAAAAAAAATTGAAGAACGCTGAACACGAGTGGCTGAATATTGCAATATTTTTCATTCTCTAATCCCACAACACCTTCGACTTGCGAGATATTTCCGGCCGCGGACCTAGCATGCCTGTCTGTTTCGGCTGCAGATTGTTCCATACATTCATATATGTAGCCATACAAAGTGAGTATTGGGTGGTGCACTTCCGTGACAGCTTGAAATGCGCGCGTTTTGCCTTCAGATACGCCAGCGGCAGCATGAGAGACTAACGGGGCTTCAGTTTTGTACTTTCATCACATATGTTCATCAGAGTCACTCTTGCAAAGGCTCTACGAAAAGATATTTTAAAGAAGAGTTTGATCGACTTGTCTGATGCGCAACGCCTGCTGTGACGATCAAGCACGATTTTTCCCTATGGAGGCAAAACGTTGGCTTCTGAACAATCAGAAGAATGCTAATAACGACACTACTGCTCTACTTTGCTAGATATAACTGGTCTGCAACGTGCTGAACGAGATTCTGGTGCACAGGCGACTCGGAAGCCCAACGCGATTGCAACGGGAGCGGTGGAAGCAGAGTCATGACAATCTTCAAAACATCTAACCACAAGATAATCATCTGCAGGTCCTGCTTGAGGCGTGCATTGGGAGGTTTCGCCTTGATTTCGGGTCGAGCGCAGTGGCACCGGGAAGTTGAACGGAAGTTGAATCGGGCAGCACTGAACATTTGCAAATATCGTGCTGTCATGCGACGACCGGCAGAGAATTGAACTCCTCTAGGCTGATAATTGCACATGTTCTGAACATTGCCGCCTCCTGCCAATAAAATTGGCGGGAACTTGCTCAGTGGCCATCCCCGGCCTGCGATCATAGGAAGCCCGGGTGCCCAGCACAAAAAGAGAGCCTATGGCACTTCTTGTGGCCATTTCACAACTGCTCTGGATTATCTCCTATGATTTTAATGCAGAAAACTTTCTAGACGTCTTCCCATGCTGCTCTGTAGTACGAAGACAGGAGAGCGACGACCTGGAGAGCTGTGCCGCTGTTCATGAAATGGGTTGTTGACACAAGTCGAGTCCGCATCGGCTGCTGCGAGAAGTGTTCAAGGCGTTCTTAAATATTTCATCAAAAGGATAACTTTTGTGTTCCTCTAATCAAAATTCTCTCTAGCGGCGCGCTTCTGTCTTGTCGTTTGAACCCGGTTTCACTCCTCCTGGCTTGGGCATGGGGTTGGTTTGGGACGTGTTCAGCGTCTGGGGTCCCTCTGTTACCCCGTTTTCCCCGTCTGTGCATGCTTTCAAAAAACGTAACGTGGTGGAACTTTTGAATTTGCGTATTTATGGGGCGAAGGCGGACCTGAGAATTCGTCTGTCTCTGGCGGCAAAAGCGACCGTGGGTCCCTGCGGCATTCTGCCTAGGTCGTGCTAAGGCTTCTCACTTGAGAGTCTTTGCTTCTCGGTAAATCGCTTTACTTTCGTTCGCATCACCTTCTGGCCGTAGTGCTCCTCCTCAGCGAGACGGCAAGCGCGCCGCAGAAACCTGCCGGTTAGCTGTTGAGACCCCTCTTGTGATTTCCGTGGTTTGTCCGAGTCCACCTCAAGGGAAGCTCTGCCTTTAATTAAAACGCCTATTCTTGCATTATGCAGCAATCTTAGTTTGCGTGCACTCCCTGGCCACGATCCTTGACCGGATCAAGTCCATCTTCTCAAGGATGACTAGCGCAGAGTTGTAGAGATGACTCGCTCAGAGTTGTAGACGAGATGAACGGCCGCTGGGGGGATGGCGCCCCAGTTGGCGCCTCAGTTCCGGCCCCGGTTCCACAAAGACGGCCTGTGTGCGACGAAGCTCGTGCCGCTGCGGCGTGGTTATGGGTTCAGTCAGAGGTTGCGGGGGTCTTTGAGCGCTTTTCAAGGGATCTCCAGGCCATTCACTCTCGGGGCCTTAATGCGGCGGCAGCACTTGAGAAAGATGCTGCAGGCATCCCGGGCAGTAAAGGTGCTCTCCACGACCCTTCGGGCTCGGGGGGGGCGCGAGACGCCTTGAACAGCCTGCTGCTTCTCTGCTCCGAGGCGGGAGCGGAGGCCAATCGCTTCTCTGCGTCCCTGAGGGCCGGCGTGCTAAAGCCATTAGAGGAAGCACTTCAGCCCTTAGCCCGCGCGTGGGACGCCTCAAATCCTCCATCGGCAGCCACTCACCTGCAAACGGAATTCAAAGCTGGTGGCGAAGTGCAAAAAGCAGCGAGGAGGCTTCAACTTGCTGAAGAGGAACTCACGGTCAGACGAAAATGCGGTAGATACTGTCCTGAGACGTTTGTGTTGGCCAGTAATGCAGTTGGTATGTTGCTCATCGTTGTGCACCATATCAACTGCGTTATTAGCGGATGCTGGTTTGTTGCCAAACAAACCAACCTCTCAGTATTTCGTCTGTGTTCGTAGACCGTCGCTTTTCCGTTTGCATTTTGTTTCCTGCGGTGAGGGTGTTGAGAGCAGTACGTTTGGGGCTTTGGGTGCGCTGCTGTTTTTCTTTCTGCACCCCAGAAGGCCGAGGCAAGCTTGCAAGAGCTTCGTTCTCTGTTTGGTGCGGCAGTTAATTCTTCTTTGGAGCAGAAGGCAATACAGCGCATCTCCCGCGCCTCCCGTTTAAAAGTGGCGGCACAAGAAGGACTTCAGCAAGCCCTCGCAGCAGACGCATCGAAACATCCTCAAGACCCTTCCTCCATGGCCTCTCACCCGCTGTAGGCGGGCCTTACCAAACCCTCTCCTGTGTATAGTCGCCAACATCACTGGGCTTTTTTCCTTTTCTAGGATTGCGAACCACTGTTCTTGTCTGTTAGTGTGGTGGAGTCTCCTGCTGAACGAAATCTTGTTGTTCAACGGAATTTGTCGCATTTTAATTTCTTCCTGTCGTTGCTACTGTAGGTCTTCGGTGGAGCTACACGGCAGCGCTCGTCTGCTAAAGGCTGAAGACGGCGGTGCATGGGCTGAGGCAGGGGGTTTACGAGCAACGGATCACCAACGCCGGATTTCTGCTGCTATGCTGCACTCAATGAGGGCTGCTAGCAAAGTAAAAGATGCAATGGCCTGCACCTTGCCGCTTTTAGCTGTCTCTAGTCTGTCTCTGCTCTTCGCGCAACACTTATCAATCGGTGCTTCTCTCGACTCATCTCTCGAGACCGTTGTCTGTGTTCCCTCCAGCCTGCTGCTGCAGGCGTTCAGAAGTTGGGGTGTAACCTCATGGCGCTGTTTGGTAAATGGTTCCCTCCTTGTGTATCAGGATAGATAGCGAGGGCAAGGTGAAAACATGCATGAAATGTTGTTTGTTTGCCAATTGCAGGCAGCTCTGACGGCGCAACAGAGAAGCACGGGCTTCGTTCTGCACTATGTGCGGGACTTGCAGCTGTTCGCCGCTGCTGAAGTTGCAGCGGCAAGCGCCTCAGGCAGTTTCACTGGAGGCGAGGCCGAGCAGGAAACGATAGCGCAGGGGGCTGCTGAGGAATTAATGCATCGGCTGTACAGACAGGTCAACGGGAACGTCGACAACGCCGAACAACGCACAAGTACGCGCTTTCAGAAGCAGCGGGTGTGGGTGGCTTCCTCTCCTCCTCAACTGTTGATGTGCAGCAAGCAGATGAACGTGACTGAATTAACTGGTGGGGTCCGTATGTAGCAGGATGGACGTTTGGTGGAAGCATTTAGCCGATTGTGTGGATGTGTGGGACAGACGAAGCGACATTGAGAAATTTGCTGCTGCACCAGGAAAAGCAGCTACAGGAGGCATTGACGGAACGAGACGAACTGCGTCAGCAGAACGAAAGGCTGCAGAAGGAAGCAGAAAACCAGCAGAGGGAAATCGATGCGCTGAGGCGACAGCTCAACGCCGGCGCTTCGGTGGGCTTGACGTCACCTCGAAACCCACGACTAAAAGCGCGGAAGCAGGTTACTATACACCTGGGGGACTCGGAGTACGAGAATACCTGGAACCCGTCTTCACAACAACAGGCTGCGTACCAGGGGGGGGAGCGGGGGGAGCTGCAAGGGAGGGCTGAAGAGGACCCATGGGCCTCCGAGACGGCCGTGCAGCTCTCCGCAGTCACCGCAGGCAGTGCCGGGGGGTCCCTCTTGGGGACCCTCGATGCCAGCCCTCCCTCTGCAGAGTATTCAAGCACAAAGCAGCCTATAGAAATGGTTTGGGTGGATGTACAGCTGAGATACGAGGAGTTCTTGCTGTCTCTTCGGTCCCTCCCCCTTTTGAACGCGTGTCCCGGTGTGGCGAATGAACAGGACAACAGCCAAGGGGCCCAACAGAAGACGCCTGCGTGGCATTCGGGCAGCGAAGAGGCGTCTTCTGCGCCTTCTCTGTCTTCTGCACATCTTCGCACTGGGGTTGTTAACAAGGACAGGACGCAAGATCGCATGCAGTGGACAGACCCAACGTTCGCTTCCTCCGTGGCAGCGGCGGTGGAGGCCGCAGCAGACGCTACATTACCGCCCTTCCTGGTCCAGTGCTGCCGCCTTGCAGCAGTTGCTGCTGCTCCCTCTACCCCAGCAAGGCCAGTGCTTCGCTCTAGCGGCGCTAGCCGCATGTCTGTGCAGCAGCTTCAAGACCAAATCCTGTCCAGCAGGCGGCAGCAGCAACAGCAGCAGCAGCAGAGGAGTGGAGGCCAAGCAAATGGACCATTGGAATGGAAGGAGTCCGATTTACAGGTTTTGGCTTACGAGTTGCTGCTGCTTGTAGCGTATCACTACTCGCAGTACTCAGCCGCTGCGTCGCTCCTTGTGGGCGAGGAGGAGCAGCTTCCCTCGTCTACCCCCGGCCAAGGTTCTCCTGAGGAACAGACTCAAAACACAGCAGCTGCCTCTCGAGTTAGGCGGCCGCGTAAGTCGCTGGCGCGCGCCATGTCCATAAAGCTAGGAGCAGCAGCTGTCTACAGCGACGCCGAAGAGCACCAACAGCAGCAACAGCAACAGCAGCAGCAGCAACAGCAACAGCAACAGCAACAACAGACGCCTGCGGGTGTTGAGATTAGTGCAGCGGTGGACACTGTGCCGCTGCAACAGCCTTGCCAGGGCGCAGCAGCAGCGCAACAACCCGCCCCTCTCCCGCTGCGCAAGCCTCGAAAGTCCTTGGCTCGAGCCATGTCTCTGAAATTCGGACCCCATCATGAAGACCCTCCAGAGACGCTACAACCACAACAGCAGCAGCAGCAACAAAGTGGGACGGGTGCGTGCAGTGGAAGTGATCTCCTTATCCCTTGTCACCCTTTCTCGATGCCCACAGAGGAATGGCAGCGGCAGTTTGAATATCGGGGTCTCTTAAGGAATTTTTCTGGGCTTACTTTCAATGGGTCCCGGCAGCGTGTTCGCGCTGCGCTTCACTGGGTGAATCCCAGTCCGCTGCTGCAGCAGTCGAACGAGGAAGTGCTGCAGCAGCTGCTGCAGCTAGCTCGTGTATCATTTGAACTGCCGAGTTCCAGCAGCAACAAATTGCTGAGTCTGCTGGCCCCTGTATCTGACAGCGGGCTCGGCCCTGCATGCGGCACCATTCTGCATCCTTGTGACCTCCGTTATCGCGTCTTTCGTTTGATGGAGGCCTGGCGGACTGCTCTCTGTCCCTCAGCTCCACCCTCTAGAGCGTTCCCTCGCAAGCAGCAGCAGCAGGAGCAGCGCCAGCAGCACCGCGGGCGGTTCTTTCACGGCGCCGCTGCAGCAGCCATAGGCAAGCTAGATCCCTCTTACGGCGTGAGGGGTGCCCTGCGGAGACGGGCTGGTGATTCAACAGCTGCTGCTGCTGGTTCTCCCTCTGTCTTCGCCGCAGAAAGCGAAAGAGGAGGGGAGGGTGAGGGAAGGCGCAGCTCACTTAAAGTCTTGGGGGAGCAACACCGAACTTCTACAGCATTGGGAGGCTCCAACAACCCGCAGCGGCGGCAACTCGCAGGTGACCTGGGACCTCCAGTGCTCCTGCAGCTGCCCCAGCCCAAACGGAGGTCTAAACGGTCCTCGGCCTCGGCGGCAGCGGCACCAGCATCAACATCAGCAGCAGTGGCAGCTGCTCAGCACCCAGAAGCAGCAGGAGGGGCATGCCTGCAGATGAGGCAGGACCCTGTCTTCCGCTCTTTCATTGACCGCCAGCTGCAACTGCTGCACGCAGCAGCCCTGTCTCGTTGCGCCCGTCTTTTGAAATTCTTGCTCCCCCAAGGAGGCAATACGGCAGGAATAGCAAGGGCAACAGCAGAAGCAGAGGATGCAAGGCGGCTCGCGGGCTCTGCTGCTGCAGGGCCTCTGCCTTCAACCCCGTGGCGGCCGATTGCGATGCAACAGCTGTATGCTCGTGAGAAGACCCGCAGCGATGAGGAGGCCTTTTTGTATTTTCTTAGGTCTCTGCTGCTGTGTCAGGGAGAGACACCCAACCCCCAAGAGTCTCCTCAAGCACCCGCCTTCCTACTCTATTCGAAGGAGGAGACAGCTGCGGCGATTGCTGCAGCGGCGCAGCTTCAGTTGCTGCCTCTGCGTCTGCTGTGCTGCTTCTACCACATCTTCGCCTACATATTCGCGCTACAGCAGCTGCAGCGGCAGCAGCTATGGGGCGAGGCGGAGGCCTCTGTGAGTATCGAGGAGGTGTCTATTCACGTCACCGATAATGCAGGCGCCCCAGCAGGAACGGGGGAAGCGGAAGGCCCTCTCGCTTGGGAGGTCCGTACGGAACAGCGGGAAAGAGGAGGCATGGAGCTGCTTCAGCTGCTGCAGCATAACATGTCGCAGGCTGCAGCTCTTGACTCCGCTCTCCGGTGCACGTTGGCTGCCCGAGGAAACAACAACCCCACCTTGAAGCAGCTGGCCAACGGAAATGTTGCTTCTCCCCCTCCCCAGGCCCCTTCGCTGCCTCCTCAGCGCTTGCGGAGGCAGCAGAGCTTAAAGCCCCTCCGAAATCTTCTGGAGGTCCCGGAAGTGCGCAGCGACTGTGGAGACACAGCAGAGGAGTCGGACGGTAGGTGCTGCTGTTGGAGAGGCCCTCGTGGGCTTGATGAGTCATGAAGCAGGATCATGAGGGACCCCTTCAGCGTGCATGCTTGTCAAGCCCCTTGAGCAGCACCAAGGATTGAGGAGGGGTTTTTTGAGTTTGTGTAGAGAATGTCGCCTGGGACGGGGGTTTTTGTGTTTGCTTCAGGCAGCCTCGTCTGGGGATCTGACGTGGAAGGGGTTAAGGGGACGGGGTATGGAGGGGGGAACCCCTCCCACGGACAAGGAGAGGGGGCCCCCCCACACCTGGGTCTTCCTGGGGGCGCCCTCCGGTCGGCCTTCCGTAGGCCTACGCTGAAGGCCCTGAGGAGACGAACAGTGCGCACCCTCGATCCAGACTGTTCTGCTGCCCGCGCTGCTGCTGCTGCTGCTGCTGCTGCTTGCATGCTGGAAGGGGCTGAGCAGCAGCAGCAGCTCTTGTGCCTGCCTAGGGAGTTTCACCTCAGCGCGTACTGGTGCCTCGACGTCCCTTTGCTGCTGTCTCTGCTGCTGCTGCTGGCCCGCTGCTGCGCCGATTCCACCGCTGCCAACGGCCTGCAGCTGGGCGCTCCCTCGTTGGTGCAGGGGCTCCTGTTAGTTGCACATACCTCACAAGTGGGAACGGATCCCACCTACCCAGCAGCAGAAGATGCAACCAACAGCGGCAGTAGCAGCAGCTATGCCTCATTGCTCTTGCAAGCATGCAGGGCAGGAAGCGGATTCCACGGCATTTCCCTCGACTCCGTTTCTCTTCTTGTTGCTGCATGCGTATGGGCCTCCGGCATTAGGGCCTCTCCTATCTCACGTCAGCAACAACAACAGCAGCAAGTGACTCCACGACCATCAGGCCCATGTGATTCTGCAGACTTGGTGTTACAGACTGCTGGGTCGGCTCAGTCTGGTGTCTCCGCTTCTGAGAAGCAACAGGCCACACTCCCCACTACACCGCAGCAGCAGCAACAGCAGCAGTTGATCCAGGAGCTGACTTCTGTCTCTTCTACCTTTGTGGAGCCATTGCGAGTGGAGGTTGTCTCTTCTGCGTTGGAGTTGCTGAGGGACTTGAACGGATTTCTCAAAAAGGCGTCGGCTCAGGGGCAAGAAGGGACACCCGATGATATCCAATGGGCCCTCGGCGGCAACAGGAAAAAAACTGCAGAGCGAAAGCAGGGAGCAGAGTCTTCTGCGTCTGCCGCTGCTGCTCCTGCTGCGCTTGCGGACAACGCGCTTGCCGTGACACTCCCTGCTCCTACCGGTGCTGCTGACCCGCTGTCTCCTCGACTGCCAGGTCGCGCCGTCGTCTCTGGGCATGCAGCTTTTGGGGCCTTATTCAATAAGCAGGAGGTGGCCAGTGAAGGAATAAACCCCGCCGCTGCAGGAGATGACAAAGGGGGAGGCAGCAACTCGGAGATGCTGGAGATGGCGCCCCGCGTGCGAGGTGAACGTCTGCTGCTGCGTCTCCGTGGGCCGCTGCTGCTACTGCAGCAGGAGGAGGGAGAGGGAGGCATCAAGACAGAGCCACAGCCCACCTTCAGTAGTGTGTTGATGAACAGGCGGTGGCTGGGGGCAGACTGGTGGGTCAGTCAGCGCGAAGGAGACGGAGACACTAGCCAGAGAGGTAGGAGACATATAACCGACAAACGGTTATGAGACACCCAGCAGACAGACTGGTAACAGACACACATGCAGACTGTCTCCAACACAGGACATCCTCCTCCACACCTTCTCGCCTTCTCACTACCCTAAACTTCAGCGCTGCTGTATCAAAAGGGTCTCGGCAGAATAGAACGATCGCTCAGGTGTACAGACAAACCGTGCAGGTGCAGTGCAAGGACAGAGACAGAGACAGCCCTGTTGCCACAAGGAGGCTGGCGGCGCCCGGTGCATCTATTGTACTTAGGAGTAAAGAGGTTCAAAGCGTAGAGAGCTGGAATTGTCGCTTCTCTACATTGTCTCTGGAGTTGCCTCAAACTGCGTTTCGGCGGGTTCTTCTGCTCTGAGGTGTCTTGGGAACATATTTGAATGGGTGTAATAGCACTGTCTTGCGTTTGTTTGCGTGTTGTTGCCATGGTTGTTTTCCTTTCAGCGCTCCGAAGGAGCGAGTGGGCCTCGTGCTGCTACGGGTTGTCTGCTCTGCTGCCGTCACGGGTGGAGCTGCAGGAGCAGGAGATTGCTGCGCTGCAGCTGCTGGGGTCGGGATTTCTTCTTCAGCTGCAGGAGCAGCTTCAGGACTACAGAAGACATTTTGAACCACAGGCTCTTTCAGTGGCACTTGCACTCTATATAAGCCTCGTGCAACGACTGCTCTTGCTTCCGTCTGTTCAGCAGAAGCAGCACCAGCAGCGGCACGATTGGAAGAAGGGGAATGGCATTTCTTTCTCTGAGATGGGGCCAGGATTTCTTGGGATAAGTACCGCGGCATTTAATGAGTGGCTGAGAAGGACGCGGGATTCGCTTCAGATTTCGGTCGATTCCGGTTTTGAATTTGTTGGAGGCCAACAGAACGTAGAGGAGGGAGGTTCTGCATGTCTAAAGGCGGCGGACGGAGACACCTCAGAGGACAACGTTTGGGTGTGGGGCCTTCCGAAGGTGCTGAGAGGCCCCTCTGGTTTGCATGATATGCTGCGTTGTTTCATTTACCGTTCCCTCTCTGCTGCTGCTGGACGCTTGTTGGGGCAGCCGGTGGCGGCGCTGTTGCAGCTGGCGAGAGGAGAGGACAACAGACGAGGGAGCTTAGAGGAGACAACAGAGACACAGCAAAGGGCCCTTACCTCCTCGAAATCTGACGAAGAGGCAGAGATAGAAACGGATACAGAGACAGAGACAGAGACAGATCGCGTGTTGTGTTCGTTGGCTCAAGGCATCCGCAACCTCTACACCCACGTGCAGTCCGAGCTGCTGCTCTACGCCCCCGTCTTTGCTCCGCTGCTGCCGCTGCAGGGGGAGCAGCCGCTGCTGGTGTTAGCTGCTGCTAAGGCGGTGTTGCTGTCTGTCTTGCCTCTTGTCTCTCGCTGCGCCGATCAGGCCGCTGCAGACCCCGAAAGAAAGGGAATGCCGGCCAAAGGAGGCCAGGAACTCCTAGCAGCCCTCAGCGCGTTCGATCGCCTGGCAGACGAAGTGAGCTGTCGTGCAAAGAGGAAACCCAAAACCCTAAACCTTAAACCCTCGAGGCGGGTTGGAGGCTTTGGCCAGCATTAAACCATCCAGCTTTGAAATGGGTCTTGTGGAGACCACGCAGCAAACCCCTTCTGCTTTCTTTCTGCTTCTTAGTACTCCTCCCCTTGCCTCTTGCGGATGCATTGCTGGTGGAGGATGTTGTGCTGCGTTTCTCCTTGGCTGTGTCTCCGGCCTAGTCGGCGTTGGCCGTGTTGTGCTGAATTCCATCAGCCTACAGGAGGTTGCCGTCCTGCGCCTCCTTGGGGGTGTTATCTTTGTAAGATGCTTTCTCTGCAAGCTGTTGTCTGTGAAAGGTGTCATGTCTGAGGGGTGTTGTATTTGCGGCGCTTGGCCTGTCCGTAGGGTGTAGTGTGTCTCTTTGCGTTTGAGTATTTCTCTTCTTTGCGTTTCTTTCTCTTGTTGCAGGTTTGTTTTGGGGGCGTTTTGTGCGTCTCCTTTCCGAACGATTCGCCTTCCCAGCATCAGGGTCTGTTGTCAGTGGTGGCCCCTCGCCTGTTCGCTTCCTTTTCGTTGCATCTCAGCGGACTGACAGATTTGCTGTCGCAGGCTTTCCTGAGAGACGTCTACCTCCCAGCCAACCCACCCCACGCTGTCTACAGTGAGAAGGCCATAGACGGCTGGTGCTGCATTTATGGGGTGGTGGAAGCGGCTCTTGACTCCTCATTGCCCCTCCCCTGGTATTGAATAATCCCTCAGTTCAAAATATGAACCCTCCCACCTTAGCGATTCTCAGATTCGCCTTCAGCCCTCTAATCTCTTCTATTTCAATCTGCACTGTCTTAATACTCTCCCCGTGCTGCATTGTCAGGGCAACGCACACGGCTACCGCTGCGGGTCGATGCCCAGCCCGGCACCCTTGCTTGAAGATGCGTGCAACAGGGAATGTGCGTGGCTGTCTTCTTCAGTGCATGCTGAGGGCGTTCTTGTGTCCTTACGTCTGCTGCTGGTTGCAGGCTGATTCCTCGTTTGCTACAGTTTCTTTCCGAGTTGCTGGCTGCTCTGTGTCGGAGTCTGACGGACCCCTGCGTCTCCCAAAGCGAAGGCCCTGGGGAGTGGGGGGGCCGGCCGCTGCTGCCGCTGCTGGCACTGCGGCAGCTGCAGCAGAACTACTTTAAAGGACTGCTGGAGGTCAGCGGGAGGAACGCCGCTGTCGCCGCCTCTCCCTTCGTTGCGCACTTCCTAGCGCTGCAGCGCACAGCAGAAGAACGCACTCGGAAACAACGCAGGAAGTCCAAGGGGTAGCTACGAAAACCCTAAACCCAAAACCCTAAGCACTAAACCCTAAACCCTAAACCCTAAACTTTTCAGGCCATAGAAATACGCGGCTGGCTCATTCTTTCTGGTCTCGCTGCATCGTGTGTAATATTCGTCACCCTCATCCCACCAGCACTTGCAGCACGTGGTAGTTATGTGCTGCTAGGTGGGGGGTGTCGAAAGAAGACAGAAGAAACGTTGGGGACTCGGAAGGTCTGTCTTGATCTACTGCTTGCTGATTGAGGGTTGGTTTGGTTCGGTTGTCTGTGCAGCTGGAGAGGCCGTATGACGCAGCTTGTTGGGGGATGGGAGGAGGAGAAGCTGGCGCAGGGTTTGGCGCGGGCAGGCTCAGCGTACCTCTCAGGAGTAGAGGGTGGGTGTTGTGTTCTGTTGGGTTGTGGGTTGATGCGCCTCTTCATAGGATGAAATTATTATAAAAGTTTCCTGTTCCTTAAAAGAGATCAATCAAGTTACGTCTGCAGATAAACCATTATTGTGTTTAGTCAATATGTAAATTAGAATGTTGAATTTCCTTACCAGTTAGAGCGGGAAGTACACGAAGACGCGCCGTTTTTGCGGTTTTCTTTAGTAGATGTTCCACTGCGAAAGAAATGGGTCTGTCTGACCGGCTGCAGCAGCTTAGTGCGATTTGGTGGTTGCACACCACAAGACAGTTGTTATGGCTTTCAGTGTGCAGTACTGCCTTCGGCGTTTGCATGCATGGGTTTATGGCTTTGGGTTTAGGGCTGTTGTGCGTTTGTGTCGCCAGACGACAACAGCGGGGACAGCTCTGACCCGCATGAAGGGGCCCCTGAGCAGGCCAGAGGGGCCCCTAGAGGCCTCCCATCTCGGCATGTTGAGGAGGATAAAGGCCGTTCTCGTTCGGTCTTTCGTCTCCTCTTCGGACAAAGTGACAGCAGGGAGTCTTCTGCAGCGCGTGGAGGGGCCCCAGGCCGCGGCGAGGGCAAGGGAGCGGGCGGCGGGGGGCCCCCTGTCGGGGTTGGCCGTGTGCTTGGTTCGGGTGTGGAAAGGCTTTCGCCTGCTGTGTGCCAGCTGCTTTCCGCTGTAGATGCCCTGACAGAGTGGGAGGCGGCGCGGCAGAAGGCAGTTTTAAGTGGGGGACAGCGGCCCACCAGCGGCTTGCAGCGGTGGTTGGTGAGGCTGCACATTGCTGCGCTGTATCTCCAGCGACTGCCTGGCTTGCGAGAGAAGCTGTTGAGAGAACTGCAAAAGAAGATCCTCTTCCGCTCCCCACGAGATATGGAGGTGCTGCAGCAGCTGCGGACGTTGCAGGGAAGAGGTGGCGCAGACGGGAGCAACGCAGCAGCAGCAGCAGGGAAGCAACAAATCGACTTGCTGCTGCGGCGGCGGCAGGAGGAGCTTGCAGAGCTCAGCGCAGCTGTAGATGAAGCGATCGAAGGACTCAGTCAGAAACTCAACGAAACAGCCAAGGAGCTTTGCAGGTAGTCTGATACAGCTCAATAGCATTCGCTGCAGTACACTGACAAGGAAACTGAGCAAACAACTCACTATAGACAGCAACGCAAAACCATAAACTCTAAACCCTGAAAGATGATGCTCTGCTGCAGACGTCTGTCCGTAGTCTCTGGGGGTTTGTCTAATCGTGTTTTTATGCTGCAAGAAAGCAAGCGTTAATGTTAATACTACCGCCACAGGAGAACGGAGCCTGCCTTTGGTGCGTTTTCTCCTGCAGTCTAGCGGCGGTGCATCTGGTGTATTATGAGTTGCAAGGAGACATATTCGGGAGTATGTACAGTGGAGAAGAAGCCTTCTCAGGAATGACGCTGTCGAGGCTGCTGCAGGCCTTTCCAAATGTACGCTTGCGGAGTGTCGGGGAGTGGTGTATGTGCTAGCGAGTTCAGGAGGCAGCCTTCTGCTTTGGTTTGTGTGGACATTCCCAGTGCCGTACTGCAACAGAGAGTGCACGCATAACTGTTTGCGCCTTCAGACAGTAGAGGACTTCTTCTGTGCAGCTCCATTGGAGTGGCAAGACGAACTGGCGTCAGCTGTGCTGCGCTGTCTGGCGGAGGTCAGTGGGGTTGTCTCTCGTCTTCTCTCTTCCTGTCCCTTCCGCTGCCGTCTGCTGTTTCTGTCTGCTCTCCCCCTGCATGTGCATGCATGCGCGTGCATGCATACGCAAGCACACGCACGCACGTGTATGCGGTAGGGCTAGGTGTCGTGGTGCTGGACGCATATGGTATCGTTCTGCAGGCCTGGTGTCTGTTGCTGGCGGACTGGGGCTATGGGGGTCACTTCTACGAGGGGAAGGAGTTGGAAGTGTTGGAGGGGGATCTCGACTCTCTCCGTCAATACGTAAATGACAACGAAATATCTCTTGAGGTCAGTAGGCCTGATTTTCTTGATTTTTGTCTTTCTGTCGGGCTCACCTCAACTGTAACTGTTACTGTTCTTACCATCTGAACTGTTCAGTTTATTGCCTTAACTATTCATTTTATACCCCATTACTGTTCAGCTTGTTTTCTTACCCATTCACTTTGTTGTGGGCTATGTTCATTTCCCTGTCTTAACTATTCACTTTATTGCTTTATTTAGCAGTGCAGCACAGAATTGCCGGTGTTTGTGATGCTGCTGTTTAGGATGATGGGGACACGTTTGATCGCTTGAATGACTTCTTAGTGATGCTCGATGCCGACGGCCGCTGTCTTGCTGCTGCGGAGCACTTGGCACGGCAGCAGCAGCAGGAGCCGTCACAGCAGCAGGAGATGTCCGGTGACGCTTCGGACAGAAATCGCATAATGTACGAGAGAGTCAAACTCCACCAGTTGCTGCGTGGAGCTGCCTTCTTGTAGCTGAAACAGAAGACGACACAACGCAACATGGTTTAGCATCACCCTTTTGTTGCTGTGCTCTTTTTCTCGGTGATTGCGATTGCCCATACAGCAAGCAGCCGTACAACTGCCCGTGGGTTTGTGGGTTATTGTTCTTCCGCCTGATTGTTTTGTGTGCAGCACTGGAGGAGCGGCAGGAATGCGCACGGGGCATGCAGCAGGGCTTGCTGCCTCAGCTGAAGCAACAGGAGAAGCCAACAGCACCCCTAGACGAGGGCGGGGGTTGAGGAGAGAAATCTCTGCAGACAGCAACGAGAACAAATCGCGAAGAAGTCGCAGCAAATCGAAAGGATGGGGAGGGGTCGGCCGGTGGGTGAGGGGAGTCTACGGCGCCTCTTCCTCGCACCGGCACCACCACAGCCGCAGCCGCAGGGAACAATCAGCACACGCAACATCAGGACACACTCTACACAGCAACAAGAACAAGAACACTGAAGACGAGAACGAGGATAATCTACATCACGAGGAGGAGGAATATCGTGCTAGTGAACAACCAGAGACACCCCGTCGGGCTCTGCGATTTGCCATTTAAAGGCAGTTATTCTCAACACAGAACGCAGTTCAGTGCACGCGGCCGTTTATCTCAGAGAACCGATGACAGTTGACTCGATGCAACGCATGCAGTGGCTTCCGGGCATGCGAAAAAGAATGCAAGGGGCTTTCTTTGCCTCTTCTGATTTGACAGGCAGCATTTGCTCCGCTCCCCAATTGCTGCAGCAGGAGGCCAGACGGCCTTTCGTTGAATAATAAAACCAATGCCTTTGCTGCCGATTCGCCAAACTACGCCCCAACCTACATTTTTATTGGGCGGGCAGCTCAAGTTTTAAAGTTTGTGGTCACAGCTGCAAACGACTTTAGGTTTTTTGTAAAGATACACAAATGAATACAGCTGCCGTGATAAGGCGAAGGCATTCCACAGGTCCGAGTTGTATGAGAAACAGCGTTAAAAGCGGGCCGTATGATAGACAAAGGTTCTTCTGTTTCGTAAGATCACAAGGAATGTTTATTACAGCATATTTAGTGTTTATTTGTTTAGTACCGCCGGAAGGATTGAGCATAAGAGGATAGCAGTTGGTCCTTGTGAATGCACAATGCTGTATAGTGAGTAAAGCTACGAACAGGTATTTTATTATTGCCGCTTTCTCGACTGTGTAGCGGGAAGAGATAACTTATGGTTTCGTGTAAAGTGTCGCCAAGGGGCACTAATAAATACACACGTCACACTTTCTTCTCTCTAGAGGTGCGCACGAAGCTCACACGGCTAGGTGTCACGGCATTTCCACAAAATATGACATTTAAATGATGGGAGTTCGTAACGCGCACACTGCACAAGGGCACCCATTTTCCATTCCGATCTTATTGCGATCTTATTGAAGCGCGAATATCATTTGTTCCTTTTTGCGGACATGCTGCGAATGCGGATCTCCAAGAACTGCACTTGAGTACATAAATCCACTTGAGCCATAACAACTGCCTTTGACAAGCAGGAAACACTCTTTGCTCTCGTATCTCCAGCATCCGCAGTCCCACGTGTAAGACCAGCTTGCGGTGCGGCGATTGAAGGCTGAGACTATCTCCATGCCAATTCAATCTTCCTCAAAACTCAAGAAAAGGCGCCAGTACCCTACAATACAACGCACTCTCGGAGAAAGGATGCGTTGTGGAGTATTGGCGCCCTAAAGAGCTTCTCTGGTGCCTACAACGACAGCACTCCTCTCTTTCCGTCCAAATGGCACTAATCCAGCAAAACAAGGCTTAGCAAATGCATCCACAGAATGCAGCGGTTAAATTGACCTGCCTTATGTACGTCAGAAGAGATGCATATCTGTACGTCTTTGCAGTTCCGCCGACGGCGAGATACTCCCTAGACGATCTCAACCCCATCAGTTTAGTCTACACGCTATAAGAAGGAAGACTGCACCAAACAAAGACCCGCGTTACTGAATGCTCCGTTTGTTGTGACTGCCAAGGGCCTCAGCTACCTAAACCAGCAGAGTTCCACAACAATGGAGATACAGCTACGCTAGCTTCACTCCGCTGCAGACACATCTGACGGATGCGATGAGGATGAATGCTGAAGCACGCAAGGTAGGCTATAAATATATATATATATATATATATATATGCGTACAGAGGCTTCCATTGATATGGGGGCAGCTAACGATGCTTGCGCGAGTGTGCCTCTGCTTGTTCTGGTTCCGTTGCAGATTGCTAAGACAAAAAATTTTGGGGAGAGGAGTCTGTTGAAAAGGAGTTCGTACAGACGCAAACTACGAACAACTCGCTGCAACCCCTTCTCCCCTCCACTTCACAACATGACTGTACAAAGTGTTGGAAGGTGCGCCGGACGTGCCAGTGCATCGGACAAAGCCCGAACGGTTTATTTATTGCGGTGTCTGCACTCTTGCAGCGCCTTGTTGAAAACAAGCTGTGTTCTCACTGCTTCCCCTGCAGCAAGACGCAGCACTGATCCCATGCGTATGCACTATTAACAACGTTTACAAACAAAGACTGAACTACAAATAGCACTTAACAAACGAAAACGCACTACAACAAAAGGCCGCATTGAATTGAGGCTTTGCCGCTGCTGTTCAATAACTGTGCGCCGGTGAAAGTTATGTCCATCTTCACCATTCCACATCGAAACAAAAAGCGAGGCAGGGCGCCACAATTGCCGGTGGCAAAACATGCGGTGTATGCACACTAAGAAAAGCGGAAGTCCTTCGAACGCCTCCTCGAATCACCATCGTTTGTAGCCATCATCCTGAGGAAAAAGCCTCCAGGAGCAGCTGAAGCGAACCAACAACAGCTGCTGCCGCACTTGATTGGTTTTGGCGTGTTGACGAACCTTGGCTGGGGAGTATTGACAATCATTTTCTTTGGTCTACTGAATCACTTGTTTGAATGTATAAACAATCATTGGCTTGAGTGCAGTGGCATCATTTTTTGGTTGTACTGACCATCATATGCATGAATGCATAAACAATCCTTTGTATGGATGCACTGACAATCATTCCTTTAAATATACACCCAACCACTGGTTTGGGTGTGCTGGCAACCACCTGTTTGGGCGCGCTGACAATCATTTGCATGAATATATACACAATAATTAGTTTCGGCATACTGACAACCATTTGTTTGTGCACTGACAACCATTTGCTTCAAGGTACAGACAATTTTTGGTCTGAATAGACAAACAATCATTGATTTGGGTGTATTGGCAAGCATTGGCTTGAATGCATTAACAATCACTTGCTTGGCTGAGTGCACATACAGCTTCAGCCTGACGTGGACGCGAGGCTACAAACATTAACGGCTTGGACGGCCCACGAGACAAATATTAATCTAGTCCTTGGGATCCGTCCGTCAACATCCAAATGCATCGCCGTCTATCTTGGCGGTGGCTGTTCAAGAAAGATGAACATGAACCTGAAATCTTGAGCATTAACACCGCTCCATAAAAACATGATCATGGACATGAGAACGTGACCATGAACATGGGAACATGACAGCAAACATGAACGTGATCATGAGCTTGAATATGAATACGATCATGAACTTAAATAGGAACACTGCGTTGTCTTTGCGTAATATGGAGGCCATCGTCGCGCCCCTTCTAGTTGTCGCTCAACGGGGTCTTGTCCGCTCCTGTAGACTCATTTCAGCCACTTGAAGTTGGACTCCCAGAGGGAAACTTGCACACTGCATTGGGGAGTGGTGGCTGGAGAGCATCCATCCCATTGAGTCTAGACGGCCGCAATGAAGATTAAAAAGTCGACCATGCACGCAAGGACAAAAGAAACCAATATGGCTCCAACGCAGCACGTCTTAACACTGACGAGATGCCACATATTAGCAACGAAGGAGAAAACGCCAGTGTTTCAGGTATCTGGACGCCCCGAAGGCCGCGGCGACTGTCTAAAGGAAGGCGGGTGCGCAGGTCGGCGTTGTTGTCTTTTCTTTGATAGACAAACCGCCTCAAATCTAACCCAAATACAATTTAACGTGTGAAAAAGTACCACTTCGCGAAATAGGCACTCTCTCAAAGCCGACATTCATAGGCGGCTGCTGCTCCAGCCCTCGGGGCCCCCACGCAACTGACGAACTGACTCCTACTCTCTTTCATCTTTCCCTCTGCTTCAACGGAGCCCTGTCTTTTTCCATTTTGCCTCTATGGGCTCCTCCTCTGTGTCTTACCTGCTCATCTACTCCTTATGACGTGCTGACCTTGGGCTGCATATACACCCCAACAACGCCCTGTCCTCCCTCCCCCCCGCTCGAAGGCGACAGCAGCCCCCGTCTCTCCCTTGCGGTATTTGCTGGCTTTTTTGGGCGTTGGTGTCTCGTGTGGGCTTCATTTTTGCTTTCTTGGGCGCCACGCCTCCCCTCTTTCACAGGGGTGTCTCTACAGAACCTTGGCAAGGGTTCTTCAGTTAGACAGCTGGCCAACGAACACTCTGTCGCTTCTCCGACACCAGGGGAGCTGTCTGCTGCTGCAGGCAGTTCCCCTCTACATCATCAGGCCGCCCACGGAAGCTGTAGAAGCGCTGCTGGAGGTACGAAGGGACCTCTCTGCCCTGCCCGCTTGCGCACTCCCGCACGCAAGGGGGATTGCATGCATGCTCTCCCGTGTGAGTGTCTGTCTGTACACCGAGGAGATAGAGAAGGTCTCTTTGGTTTGCTCGTTGACGCTCAGGCCGGAGTTGGCGTTTGTTTGGCTGCTGCGAATGCAAGTTGTTTAGAGGAAAGGGTGCATTGGCATTTGTTTGTTGTGGGGGTCTCCTTTTCGTGATTTGCATTTGTATCTTGCGCACCTTCTTTTCTTAACGTTTGCTCTACTAGTTTTCGTTCTGCTTCCCAACGGTCTGTACACTGGAGATGCCAGTGGAGTGTATTGACTGGCGGCGTTTCGCCTATGGCCAGACGTCCGCCGACTCTTCTTCTTCGCTTCCCGACTCCGCACACGCATTAAAGCCCGAGACGACAAAAGAAGAACAAAACAAAACAGAGGCAGAGAACACGCCACAAACTGCCGCCTCTCCCAACGCCCCGTCGGAGGCGAAAGACCAGAAGGGTCCTGCAGGCCCAGCAGAGCATATGGCGCAGTGTACGGACATCCCAGAACCAGCCTCTCCAACAGAAGCACCTTCATCAGGCCTACAGCCACACGCTAGTGCTGTTGTTGCTGCTTCTGTTGGTGATGACGGTGCTGCGGAGCCCGTTACACCGCCCGTGCGGCTCGCCTCGCTTCATGACAGTGGAGGGGGCAGGTCTTCTGGATGGCTTTCATTTGGGAGCAGCAGCATCAGCAGCAGCAGCGGGAAGTTGAGTGGGTCGAGTCGCAGTCGGGGGAGTCACGGCAGCAGCACCAGCAGCAGCAGCAAGAGCACCAGCAAGACAAGCAGCAGCAGCTCTGGGGGGAAGCAACACCGAAGCGTTGCTTCTGTTTCGGCGGCACCTGCTTCTGGGGAGTCCACTCAGAAGAGACGGAAGCTGCTGAGGGGAGGCGTTGCTGCATGCGGCTACACGAGCAGCGAGAGTGACTCTGCTGCTGCTGCTACAGGAGGGGGCGCGCGTACTTCTTCTGGCGGTGGGCGTAGCGTTGGGCTTAGCAGCAAGAACAACAGCAACAAGGGCAGCAGCAGCAGCAGCAGCAGCGGGAGCGAGGCGACGGACAGCGACGAGGAGTCTCTGGACGCGCTGCAGTTGTGTCTTCAGGAGTCCGAGGCAATGACTGATTTATTAGTGAATGAATTGGGAGGCCCCACGCCGGAGGGGCGGGGCCTCGTGCGGCAGCAGATCGCCGCAGGCCGCTGCCACTGTAGTGCTTCCTTCAGTATCCCGCCTTCGCTGCAGCAGCACAGTGGAGCGGGTTGGGAGCGTTTAAAGGACTATCAGAAATGCGGCGTTCATTGGCTCGTCTCCATGCACAAAGCAAACCGAAACGGCATTCTTGCTGATGAAATGGGACTGGTGAGTTTCTTCCCATCTACACCTTTCTTTCCTTATCTTTCTGTCATACGAACGAACAAACACCGGAGGTACAAACTCGTCTTTTTTTTCTGTTTTCCCTAACTGCAACAGCTCCTTACGTTAAACCCTAGCTGCCTCAGCGCCAGCCATCGAGACAGGCAGAAGGCCTTGTGTTGTAGTTGGCTCCCCAAGTAGTTCAGTTGAAAAGGATGTTTCTTTGCTCTCTGTCTTGTCCGCACGGCTCCGTCGAGCATGTGAGGGTACATGCAGTCCATGCGGGTGCCGGAGTGCTGTGCTGTGGTGTTTTGCTTTTGTTGTGTTGTGTTGCGTTTGCGTTGCGTTGTGTGTGTGTTGCTCTGTGCGTTTTTGTGTTTGCGTTGTTTCGTGTTCCCGTTCGTCTTGTGTTGCGGTGTTGCGTTGTATTGCATTCCGTTGTGTTGTGCTGCACTGCGTTCTGTCGCGATCTCACCTCTTAATCCGTTGCAGTGCATAGAGTTGCATTATGCTGCATTCAGTTTCGTGTTATGTTAAATTTTGTCCTATTGCGTTCGGAAGCAAGGTGTTACCGTGAAGTTGTTTCGGTTTTTGTGCGTTTCAGGGCAAGACGGCTCAGACTTGTGTGTTTTTCAATTACGCGTATTCGAGCGGTTTGCTCTCGGCTCCAACTCTGGTGGCTGCTCCGGCGTCTTTAGTAGACAATTGGGTTCGGGAGTTTGAAATGTGGGCGCCACATTTGTGCGGGCGAGTGGTGAAGTATGCAGGGAAACAGTCAGAAAGGCGAAGTTTGGCGTTGCAGTGCATCGAGTCGCTGCAAACGCAAGAACCCTTTCGGGTCCTTGTCGCATCTGTCAACTCCTTGTCTAATAAATGGGATATTCAGTACTTAAGGCAACTCAGGCCGTTCGCTTATCTCGTCGTAGACGAAGCGCATGCACTGAAAAATAAAGACTCCCAGGTCTACAAAAACATCAACAAAATGGCAAAATGCGAAAGACGCATTCTTCTCACAGGGTAAACCGAACAACACGATTAGGAAATCACAAAGGATACAACAAACACGATAAACACCAGAAAGACCTCAGACGTAATCAACACAATACACAAGATGAACACAGTACACTCAGAGCAAACAATAAACCCAGGAAATAGATCGATCATTACAGTAGACAGTAGACAATAAGCATGAAGCACAGCGGATATAACAAACAAAAGAGACGCCCTTCATTGTGCTGTTGTATGGCATGCCACTACATCAGTGTAATACGTGTTTTTTGTTTTCTTTCGGTGTTCAGCTCGCCTATTCAGAACCGAACCGGGGAGCTGCGCAATTTGCTGTTGTTTTTGATGCCGGCGGTCTTCGACGCGGAGTCGTTGGACTTGGCCCTGACTGCATTCGAGAAACAGGCGCAGAGACAGAAGGCTTGCAAACAAAAAACACAACTCAAAGCGGAGAAACTGCAACAACAGCAGCAGCAACGGCAGCAGCAGCAACAGGAACAGCAGGGGCAACAGCAGGAGCAACAGCAGCAACAGGAGGAACCGAGAAGAGCCAGTGCCGACGCATCCGAGCCGGACACCGCCGCCAGTTCTTCGAACGGCAGCAGCAGCAGCAGCAGCAGCAGTACTTGCGAGGAGCAGCAGGGTGCCGCTACAGCAGCTTCAGATTCAAGGGGTTTTTTGAGCCGTGCATTTGCCTCGTTGGCCATTCGGGGTTCGGAGGGAGCAGGAGCAGAAGAGGGGCTGCCAGCGGATGTGATTTGTTTGCAGCGCGTGCTGTCTCCTTTTATTCTGCGGCGCTTAAAGAGCGAAGTCATGCAGGAACTCCCTAAAAAAACAAACAGAGTCGTCCGCTGTGAACTGGAAGACTCGCAAAAAGCCCTCTACTTAGAGGAGGTAAGGCGGCATCAATCCGACCTCGCCCTCTCTCTTAGAAGATTAACACAGGCATTTGCACCCAACGAGGAAACGGCAGAAAACGGCAGCAGCAACAGCAGCAGCAGCAGCAGCAGCAGCAGCGGGAGCGGTGCAGCGGCAAAGGATTCAGCTGCAGAGGAGGGCCCGCAGGTGGCTGCCAAGGATGGTAAAGAAGCGAAAGAAAGCCCTGGTGATTTTTTTAATTGCTGCATGCACACGTAGTGCAGTGAAGCGGAAGTAGAACGCTTGGATGTAGTACATCTTTTAGAGTATTTGCAGAGGTGTTGACGAACTTCTCGGTGACTCTTTCAGTCTTTGCTTTGGTTTTTCTCTGCGTGTCAAATTTACTCTTCGTTGGCTGGCCCTTCTCTGTTGCTTGGTTGTGCCCCAGCTAGTTGGTTCTCTGTCTCCATTTTGTTTTTCTGAATGGCCTATGCGCCACAATGATTGCTGCATTTGTTTGTCCTCTTTGCCTGTTTTACCCATTCGCTTTGTTTTGCTTTTTTTGTTGGTTTTATTTGCGTTTTGTTTGTTCCATTTGCGTGCTTCATTTGTTTGTTGTGTGTTTTGTATGTTTGCTTGTTTGTTTTTTTTGACTGTTTAGGTGTATAGGGAGAGCAGGGCTTGCGTGTTTGTGTGTGCAGAGTCAGGAGGGAAGCGGTTTGTGAGCAGTTTATTATTTCGTCTCCGCCGCATTTGCAATCATTCGCTTCTCATGCAAAGTCGATACACTGCAGAACAAAAGGACGTAAGCGGTGTATCATATATATATATATATATATA